ACTTACCCAGCTTGGGTATCTGTCTTTTAGATTAGGTTTTTTCTTTTTTAATGTGGTTACTATAGTCAAATTGGTGCCATGGATTTGTAAGTACACTTTGTAAGACAGCTGCTCTGAATCTGCTTTATAGCAGTGGCCTCACAACTGCCTGGAGAGTTGTGCAAGTGTAAGTTAATCTTACAGAGGGCTTCAGGACTATTGAAACACAGTAAATGATCCTGCTCTGCCCTCCTTCATTATGTAAAAACTGAAGGAGGAGCAAGTTGCAGCTCCTGGATGTGGCTGGAGTGGGTTCCCATGTATTTTGTCATAGCCAACAACACATGGGTGCTGCTGGAGATCTCTGCCTCTTTGCACAGGAGGAAAGCTGAAGCAGGTAGGTTTTCCTCCCATAAAATCCCCAGCCACAGCATTCTTCAGCCTGGTTTCTGGTCTGGACAGTTAAGGGATCAGGAACCCAGGATGCAGTGTGGTACGTGTCTGCCCACAATGCAGAAGCAGTCTCTCTGGCTTGTGTCTAGTAGAATTTGCATTTCCCCCAGTTTCCATGCTGTAGACAATTGCCCTGTGCACTTTCTTATCATCCAACAAAAAATGAATTTATGATAAGTATTCTGTGGCCTTGATGTGCTGGGCTGGGAGCCAGGACACAGCAGTCTGTCTTACCTTTTCCAGTTATTTGACTGGCATTACAATTTCTGTACTTCATAAGAGCTGTGTGGACCAAAGCTCATATGTGAGCTCCTAAAGCAACCTTTTGAAGAATGTGCTGCATACGTGTACCTGGTGCTCTTATCTCACAAGTGTCAGAACAGGCAGACCTCTGAGACAGGATTCCTCCCAGTCCTCTACTGCCATGCGTATGTTACTTGGTGTGCTCCCATCCAGCACCTTGCAAGCACGGGTGGGGGAAACCCTCATATCTTACGTGGGGGAATAAACAAGTCTGTAGGGATATGTAATAGAGCACCTTGATTCTTTTTTTTTTTTCTTCTTTAGTTTGTTCTTGGAACAAATGCAGTGTCAAACGAGCAGTCAAATCCCAAGGAATGCCCAAGATGTGTCTGTTTTCTGTTTCAAGAATGAATTTCCCAGATAAGACAAAAGTTGGGGGCATCTGCATGAGTCTTTGTTCCCCACAAACACTGTCTAGAACAATGTGTAACGCTGAGCATATGGTAGAGTGAGTGGAATGTTTGTACAGTTCCTACAGGCAAGTTGCATCTGGGTCCATCTGTGCACTTGGGTTCAGGGTTGCTCTCAGCCACCCCTGGCATCTTTGTACATTGAATTTAAGAAAAAGGAGACTGAGTATGCATGAACTTTGCAAATCCACTGGAAAGCTTGTGTTCATCAAAAAGGGAAAGGAGACTGGCAGGAAATCTTGTTTTTCAATAAAAAGCAAGCTGCTCACCAAGCTGCTTTTTTTTTTTATTTTTTTTATTTTTTAAAACCACTTTTCTTGAGTGTATTGATGAACATTTATGGTTCCATCTTAAGTTAATTTACAAATTGCATCAAGTTGTGTGGCGTTTCATCTGTAATAGGATTTTGTAGCACCAAGTGCTGGCTGTTGAAAGTTGCTCATCTCCAGTCAGAAGGAGGACTTGAAAGTGCTGCCATCAGGATGGTTGGGTCCTGTGCCAGTGTTCTTCTCCAACTTGTACTGTGGGATTCCAGGTACTGCAATGAGGCAAAGTGAGCCCAAGTTTGGATGTCTGTATTTATATGCTACGCTCACAGAATTTAGTTTTATAAGCTTGATGCAAACTAGAACATTGCTACTGAACTGTTTGGAGAAAAGGATTTTGCAAATTAAAGGTTGTGTGAAGCTTAGTCATGAACATACATGAAGTGTCAGGCAGTCTGGCCCCTCAGCTAGCCCATGCCTTGGGAAATGGCTCCATCCTTACACATCTGTGTGTTTAGATACAAATTGCCTACTGCTGTTTAACAGAAGACAAGAAAAGCACTTGGCATTCACTAGGAGCTCATGGGACAGCTGGAAAGGAAGCTTGTGGCTTTCACATACCGGCTCTCCTCCCTGAGTTTCATCTGCAGTAAATGTGGTGTGATGTCAGAGTGCACAGGCGTGCCACTGGCTCTGGCTGGTTAGTGTGCATCCTGGCAGTGGGCAGGCCTGAATGTGGTGGGGGCATGGCTGGGGCTGGGCTCTTGGCTTGCACTGGTAGGCCTCGGGAGGCTTTGATGTGCCTGGTATCTGCTGCTCTTGCTGTCCTTTCTAGCCAATTGAAGGGGATGTTATAAAGTATGGCTCTTTTCGTTAGGGGGAGGCTGGTCTTCTTGGAGCTGTGCCTCTGTCACATCTGGCTGACCCGATCCTGGAGGTTTGGGAGCTGTGGAACAGCAGAGGGGACACGTGCACATGCTGCAGCTTTCGTTCTCCAGGCAAACATTCCCTCCATACAAACGACCTTAATTAATAGAGAAGTTTTCTTAGAGCGAGCTGGGTTGTTTTGGCTGAGTGCTTTGCGTACAATCTTTGAAATGATTGACTATGTTAAATCATGATAATTAGGTCTGACCATTAACCTCCCACAAAGCTGATTACAGCTGGAGGCAGGTGGGGGGGGAGGGGGTAAGGAAGAGGAAGTTTTCTATTTTTCTTAGTGCTTTTGTTTCAGTCTGTTTGCAGAGTAAACACAACAAATGTGTGGGTTGATTAGCTGCAGACCATCTCTCTTGTCAGAGGAGGAGGTTACTGAGTTTTTAAATGTGAAAACCTGGGGTTTAGGGAAAACTGCTGAGAGGCCTTGGGCCTCTGCACGCGTGGCTTTGTGGTGCCCGCCTGCTGATGTGCAGGCTGCTTGTTCTGGAGCTCCTGCACCTTCACTTCCCAACGCAGTCACCCATGACACCTGTGTGGGACAGCACTATCTTCTGATTGCTGTAGGATTGACTTTGCTGAGCTGGGGCAGTGGGGAGCAGCTCCTCCCCTCCAGCATTTCTGCGTCTGAGCGCTGTGTGGTTGTTAGAAGGTGCTTCCAAAGGGTATCTGCTGTCTGCCTGCAGCGCTCGTAAGCAGTTAAGACTGCTGTGTGGGTAATAGAGCTCAGTGCAACCAAAGGCAGTGCTGACAGTGAGCTGCAGGCATTTTTTGCGAGCTGGACACTGTGTGCTGTGCAGTGCCGGTGCTGCAACTGAAGGGGAGCTCTGTTGAGGAAAGGAGAATCCTTGCATGGAAAATGAGCAGCGAGCCAGAGAGAATTGGCTACTCCAGAGTGGGGACGGGCCTTCTGCCACCCCTGGCACGAACAATGGGGCTGCTGCAAATCTGATTTGAGCCGCTAACAATAACGCATTGAAAAGGAAAGCAGACCTCGCAGGTCTCTCTGTCTTTCCCTGGGTCCCTACTTTGTACTTAAGCTTTTGTTTGCTCTAGCAAACCCACGGCAACACAGATCTATGTGTGAGTACAGGGAGGGTGAAAATCCTTAGAACAGACAGCAAAAGGTCAGGCAGAAAGAAAGGCCCTCGGGAAAGAAGGGGAACTTCCAAAACTCCAGGTATTTCAGATGAAAGGAGAATATAATCTGAACTGTAACCACTGCATGTATTTTGTGCAGCTATGACGTACTCTCTTCCTCCAGAATTCATAAAACTGTTCCACATCTCACATAGATCATTTTGTTTTTCACTGAATAAAGAAGCCTGCAGCCAGTGCTCCTGCACCATGGAGATAGTGATCTCACCCACCCCCTCCTCTTCCCCACAGGCCAGGGGTCACGCTCTGTTTCACGTGGAGCCCACAACTGTTCCCGTGGCTGAGGTCAGGCAGTGGGCTGTTAGTCCTGGGGCTACCTGCGAACAGAAGCCGCTGCACGGCCCTCCTTGTGGCGTTGTGCAGCCACCATGGTGTGGCCTGCCGAGCTGGCACTGCAATAGCTAGAGGAGAGCAAAAAGGGAAAGCTGGATACCAAATGGTTCCTATGCAGAAGATAGCAAGAAATGGCTTATAAAAAGCTACAGTGTATTCAATTATTTATTTGCCGTTTTTGGATGTATATAGGATAATGTGTTAAAAGTTTGATTCATTGGGATCTGTGTAACTCGAGCCGTACATCTGGGCAGCGCTCTTATATGTGCAGCAAGCACCCACTTCTTTCTGCTATTGCTCCGTCTGTCTGTTGCTCTGCTATCTTGTGTAATAGGAATGCTGCTTTTTTTTTTTTTTAATCCATGAGATTATTGAATGTTTTTACAAAAGCAGATACAATTATCTTCATTTATGTTTCCATTACACTGGAAATTCCTGCTACATCTGCAGCAGAATAACCTCTCCCATTAGACTTGCTGGCACTGGTCAGTTTGTACTACTTTCCGGATGGAGGAAACTGCTCTACTGCTAATCCCACTTACTAATGGTCTTCAGTATATTTACAATGGATCTGTAACTGCATCTGATGAGTGATGAAGTGGGAACTGAGCTCAAATATGTTGACTCATTATGTTCCATCCATAGACCCTTTGCTCGTACCTTTGTTATTGAAAACCTGTCTGAAATTATTGACGCATTACATTCCACAAGCAGAAAATAACTCAGTTATTGGGTGTACCCTGTTATTAAATACTGAACCAGGCTCAGTTTAGGTGAACACCAGACTAGCATTACATACATTTTACTTTTTTTCCATTTGTGTCTTATTGTAATGGATTTTAGTTAATTTTATTTTTCCCAATCAAGTGTAAGCTAACAAAAATATTGGTGCAAAATTGTTCTTGTATTGTAACTTCCTTTTTTTTCCACAATTAGTTTTAAAATATCTCAATAACTAATTGTAAAAATACATTTGCATTATTATCAGGGGTTAAGATACCTAATACTGTTAAATATTTGTGTCACCGAGTTTATTACAGAGGCACTTGCTTGATGTAACATATCACTTTCATTTAGCTATGTGATGTTCTTTAACATGCCTTGTGAATTACGAATAAAGTAATCCCTCCTGGATCACCTTTTATTCTTCCTGTCTATGCAGTAACAAGCGACTTGTGGCCTTAGTGCCAAATGACACTTCATTCAACACCAGACGAGCCTACACCAGCGAAGATGAAGCGTGGAAGTCGTATTTGGAGAATCCCCTAACAGCAGCTACCAAGGCCATGATGAGCATAAATGGTGATGAGGACAGTGCTGCTGCCCTTGGCCTATTATATGACTATTATAAAGTAGGTAACTCCATCGGTATCTCTCCCTGCTGCACTGGCAGGGGCCCACTCTTATGAGGCATCAAAAGAGCCAGTTTTCAACTTGCTACACCTTGTTTTATCTCCGATACTACATCAAGTGTCCTTGCCACTTTAGGAAGCCTCCCTGAGGCTGTTTTCACATATTTAGTTCTGAAGAGAAAGAACAAAATCAGAATTCTTATATCAAATGTGCAGGCATGGTTTCTTCTACAGTGCTGCATTCTTCCTCTTACCTTGGAAGAGCCTTGGATGAATAATCCCCCTTTATTTGATGCCCCTATACTTGCAATACTAGTTTAAAAGTGGAAAAAAGGAGACCTTGTCCATCTGTAGGTTTGTCTGCTTTTTTGCTTCATTCTACAGATGTTTTAATTTGTTCTTTGGCTGGAGTATCTCTCATCTGACAGTTTCCCATGTTATTTTTATTTGTACAATGATTGTAGTAGGCTGTGTACAAACATACAGTGAGGTCTAGCCCTTGCACTTGAAGTTTGCAGTCTAAATAGAAAGGTGGAGAACAGAAATGGAGCTGGACACAGAGCTGACTCAATGTACAGGGTAGGCATTTACGTATAATTTCAGTCTGTTATCTGATTTTAAGCCTAGGGCTTTATCTTCCACTTTGATACCACCTTTCTTTTTCATGTATTTCATAATTTAGGGCTATACCAAAGGATTCTGCTGAAGTTGGAGGAGAGCCCTACAGGGTACTTCTCTCTGTAATGCAGAAATGTCACTCTGAAAACAAGGCTGACCTCTTTGTGCTCTGGAAACAAAATCCGTGATGCCTACTAAATGTTAAAATCTGGAATTGGGCTTTTCACTTAAACTGCCTTCGTACTCCTCAAACCACTGATGTGTGACGTGAACAGATGACCTTCTTTGAAAGCCAACAGAATAATGCCAGCTCCACTCTTAATTCGTGAAGAGGTGGCAGAAATGGAAATTGAAAATGAAAAACCTCTGCTGTTAGTATTTATTAGCATAAATGCTTTTGGAGAATGGGTTTCTCAGTCTGCTACAATTATTAGATGAGTGTTCAGGGGAATTTATGCACAAGATGCCATATGCCGACATTAGCGTTAAACATTGTTTTATTTCATTACTGATTGCATTTTGAGAGATGTTCCATTCTTTTGTCAGTTGCAATGAGTAGGGAAGGGTATTTCCCAGTGAGAAAGAGGAACGGTCCTGTTCTCTGCTTGGCAGAATTACCAGAGTCTGTGAAGTTAATGTGGACTCATACAATTCAGGATGTGTACGACCATCTGGAGTACTGGCTTCTGTCCTAGCTATACCCTTGTATCTAGCAGTTCATTACTCTGCTGGATTTTTTTGTATAAGAACAGAGAACAGCTCTTTCCCTTCCCAAAACAATGTTTCAGGAAATATGTCTATCCCAGGTTCCAGACAGTTGCAAGAGCCCCGGGGGGTTCAGATGGAATAAGCTGTGTTAATCTCAAAGCCATTTCCAGCATTCAGTAATTGCCACTTCTGTCTTAAAGTGAGAGAAAAGGATTGTTCTTGATGATGCTCTCATACAGGAAGTTGAAACCTAGCTTCAAGCCCTGTGCTGCACTGTAGAGGAGGATTTCCTATTCACAAGACTCTTGAATTGCCCTTGTTTATCATCTGCTTCATTTATTCTGACGTGCTGGTAATGGTGGTTTTTTTGAAGTGCTTTTCCTTGTCAATAGGAATTATTAGAATATACTTTTTTTTTTCCTACCTTCTCCTTCTACTGATATTTGTCTAAACACTGACTCCCCCTTGGGGATAAATATATGATAAATACATGAATGGGAATCAACAGGTGTTAGCTGTGGCTTGGATCACACTTCTAAAATTCATGAAAGCAGTTTGTTAACCAGAAGGACACTGGATAGGGAGAGAGGATGTCTCTAAGAGGAGGAAAGGCTCTGGCTGGCACTTCTAACACTACTGTGGTCTTGCAGATACAGTTGATGTTAACCTTAGGTACTGTAGTGCACTGTAATATCATATTTTTCCCTCTAAATACAAGTGTTTTCCTGATCTTTTAATAAAGTATTTAAAGATAACAGGCATGAGTTTAGCCCATCCTTAGGTCTGTTCTTGTTCTTTAACCATGAATTGACTGCTGTGATGGTGTGGAAAAAATAGAATGAGAAGCGTTAGTTCCAAAATTGCTGGTTCAGCAAAGAAAAACACAGCCATGGCAGCAACTTTGCCCTTGGTGATTTCATTTCTATGTTAACTTCAGAAAACCAGCATGTGGGAATCTGTAAGCCATTTGGTGTCGATTTGAGTCTGTCTGGGGGCCAGATTTGCCTTAATTCTCATGGCTGCCATTGCACTCACCAAAGCAGAAGTCAGTGCTCTCTGATGACATGCCAACACACCCTGACCTCTTCTCATGCTAGTGAAGAGAAGGATTTGTACGCTTCCCCTGATACAAGTTCTGCGTCTTTCTGACTGCTCTGTAACAGGAGGACCTCACAGCTGGCTCTTGTGGTTTAATTGAAAACTTCCTCTAAATGTTCTTCACAGAGTGCTCTTCAAAGCATCCCCTTTTCATTCTCATCATTTGTTAAGCAGTGAAGAGCCCATGTGTCTGTGTGTTTGGGAATGTAAGCTCAGATTTTGACATGCTTTAACCTAGTTTGATATTCCAGAGATAGACATGTAGGAAAGAGCTTTGCTCTGGATTTATTTACCCAAGAACTAGAAAAAAAACCCACAACTTCTACATTTCTTCTCTTTGAAAATTATCTTGTTCACAGTAAGTCTCCCAAAGAAAAACAGCTCCTTGCATCTGTATATTAGACAACTCTTGGTCTTTCTAGTTGTTACAGTAGAGCTAACTGAAGTTACAAGTACCTGACAGTTGCATTTACCTGACCCCATGCCTGATGTTGTTCTCAGGTTCCCAGAGATAAAAGGCTGTTGTCTGTTAACAAAGTGAATGATAATCAAGAAGACCAAGATAAAAGGTACAGTATTATTCAAAATCATACACCCAGATACTAACAGTGTTGATCAGTTGTGAACTGCAGGAGCAGTGATAGCTTGAAGGTCTATGGTTTTCTTCCAAATGATATGAGAATGAAGGCTATCTGGGAAAGCAAACTTTACTCCTTATTACTTTTAATTTATTAAAAAATAGAGCAGGATTATTACGTATGCAATTTGTATGTAATACACAATTACATATGCAAAGTAGCAGAATTTTCATGCCTTGTGTTTTGTTCTTTCACTGCTGCTGAGATTAGTAAGTCAGATTACATTGACAGTTGGCTTCACTGCTTTTCCTTCAATTTTCTTAGGGCAGAAACTGAATGGCTTGGCTTCAGTAACCCAATGTGTATAGTTTTATTTGACATAACTGTCTACCCATAATCAAATAAAGTAACTATTAAAATCGTTCCCTGAGAAGTTCTTGTCTGTCTTCTCAGATTTCAGCCCTCCTCAGCAGGCTAAAAGTTGTAGAGTCAGAGGAGCCTGATTCCTGTTTTAATTTAGACCTGTGCACAAGGGAGAGTGTGTTTAAGGAGAAATAACTAATTTTTTGCTATGCAAAATTTCTCAGTGTAGCTGATGTTGTACAAGGCTATCCATCTGTACTAGTATGCGTTAGGTGACACTTTAAAATAGGTAGTAGTATAAATCCACTGTTTCAGAACAGAATTAACGTTTTTTGAGGAGCAGTTTTACTTCTACTAACCTCAGAGAAGCTCCAAAGTTGAGTGTGGTTGTCAAAACTGGCCTCAAGTGAAAAGCTTGAAGAGAGAGGATCCCTAATGTCAGAAGCACATTTCCTGGGTTGAAGACAAAGCAGAATGTTAGATCTATTGCAAGGTTTATAGGTTAACAATTTTGTGTCAGAGCAACTCCTGTGAACAATCTGTTTGTTTTCAACAGTGACCACAGGCAGAGACGTGGGAATGCTGCTGGAGGTTACCTTGCAGCCACGATCTCGTTACTGATCTACTCTGATACAATAGGATTCCTGTGCTTGTTCTTTCAGAAGAGCATTGGTATCCGAGTCACACAAGCAGTAGTGTCTGGAAAGAGCATACAGCATGTGGATTTTGCTGTTCCTGCTTTTTCACATGCAAATTATCTACTGTTAGTAGTCCATACCTTGTGTTACTCTTTATGCCTTTTTGTGCCTAAGGGTTGTTGCACTCCTAGGTTGACTTCCCATCCAAATTATAAGCCAAGGCAAGTGTAATCCCAGATAGGCATAATTGATCCTAACAAGTCCTACCAATTATAGGTCAAATCAAGTGTATCCGTCTTTCCCAAGCTGTTGAAGAGTTGGGAGTCTCTCCGCCTGCTTCACCATGTCGTGTGCCTAGGATTTGTTAATGTACTACTTGTTATGGCAATGGCTTATCGCAGTCGAAAGCGCACAGATCTCCTTCCCTGCCACCTAAGGTCATTAAGCTATTTAAGGAAGAGATTTACTTTATCTGGACAGTTTGTAATGTTTTTGTTTTTGTCTCACAGAAATTGTCTCAGTTCCACGGAAGCTCAGAGTAATTTGAGTGGGGGAGAAAACCGTGTGCAAGTCCTGAAGACAGTGCCTGTTAACCTTTCCTTGAACCAAGACCCATTGGAGTCATCCAAGAGGGAGTACAACACAAATGTGTCTGGCAGCTCCACGCCAATTACGGGGACTGCAGTGACTGTGATAAAAGCAGAAGAGTTCACCCCTGTTTTCATGACCCCACAAGCACACTATACGAGAGGAGAGAATGAGGAGCACCGAGGGGTTATCTTTGAACCGTATGAAGTGTCCAACATTGCTCCCCACACCAATTATCTCAAAGATGATCAGCGCAGTACTCCTGACAGTACCTACAGCGACACCTTCAAAGATGGAGGAACAGAAGTAAGTTTTTGATCTCAAATTAGCATCTAAGAACTCAATAAAAAGCTGTAAACAAGATAAGGGATTTGAGCTTGTAAACAAGATAAGGAGATTTGAGCTGTCCACAAAGGCCATTGAAAGAACAGTAATGTTAGTTTTAACAAATTCAACTCTCCTCTTTGTCATGTTGATACCTGTTTTTGCTGATTGTAGGGGACAATCGTGAGGTGTTTCTGAAGACAGTTTTTAAGTTGTTTAGTGGAAACTTAAAGAGTAACAGTTACTGATGTTTTGTCTTGGAGGATATTATAGCAAGTAGAAGATAGATACCATTCCCAAGAAAGATCAGTTATCCATTAACTAAATCTGCCTTCAGACCTTTTCCTAACTGTAAGAAACAGCACCCATTTTGTAACTGGGAAATTCTTGATGTTCTTCTGAAAGTGCAAATGAGCAGTGTCTGTCTGCTGCTAAATAAACCTAATTTATTCAAAAGCTGTCCATTACACTAAGCTCTGCTCTGCAACATGAGCAAGGACATCAAACTAGTGAGATTAGGGGAATGGAGGGATTAACAAGCAAGGAAATACTCAGATGCTTGTAAATGAAGAGGAATGATGAGGAGAAGAGAGAGAAGGAGCTGTCTTGTCACTATTTTACACTGTTCTGCTGAGACAAAGTAATTATAAAACTAGCCTTAGTATAGTAAGTACCTCTGCCTGCAGCAAAGTAGTCCAAACAAGTCAGAGCTGCAGAAAGGTAGAAATAGTTTAAGGCTGACTCTGCTTGTGTAAATAATTATATGTATTAGGCGGTAAAACTCTCCTAAGATTTTCTGCTCCTCCTCTGTGAAATGGTACAAGTAACAAATGAAAATAGGAAAGAAGTTACGTTAAGGGTAATTTGATCTTACTTGAATGTTGGAGAAGTTTGTTATATGTTTGTTACGTGTCTGTTAGAAAAGTAAATTGTCTCCACATAAGCACAGTGATTGAGGACATCTGGAGATGACATCCATTTTAAGATAGAGAAACCCATTTAGGTCAACTAAATGAATAATTAATGAGAGAATTTAGATTGCCAGTAAAAAATCAGTAAAATCAAACCTGGGATTAGAAACGCAGTTCTGCATTATCACATTGCATGTGATTTCAGCTATTTTTCTTTGTTACTGGTTAATCACCCTTTATGGAAGTCTGGTGATAATGCACACATGGCTTTCCAGGGGAGCTGCAGCCCAGCAATTCCGTTATGCTGATTTGTTAGGGGACGTTGTGCTGGAAGCTACCCTAAAAGGCAGTGCATGCTGTGCACTGTCATATCAAGCATGCACAGGTGGTGGTGGGCAGAAAGGGAACTTACCTTTTGCCTTGCATCCCAAACTCTGTGTTATGGTGTCAGTAAAATTTTGTTTAATGTTTTTTAAAGTTGCTGGTTATTTGTGCAATGTCTTCTAAAGCAGTACGGTGCTTCTCATCTAGGCTTTCTCTGCAGCCTGTGGAGGAGGAGGCAGCTCACACCTGATTGCTTGAAATGGCTGGCATGAATTCCATTGTGGCATCCACGCCTCCATCTTAACTTCACCTCTTACAGGGGGATTGAGCTTTAGCCAGGTCTCCCCTGTAGCTGCTTTTGTGCTAATATGGGACAGTTTTCATTGTAATTATCCCCTCACGGTTTAGATTTCTTGTGGTAGCTAGTGCACGTGGATCCTTGACTTCTGATTTTGAGGAAATACCCCGGGCTGATACATAATAACTTTGCATTTCACTTCTGTCCTACTGGATATTTGTTGTGGTGCTTCTGGAAACAAAACAGCTTTCTATTGCTGAGCAGTGATCACAAAAGAAGTCCTGGAAATTAAATGTAATGATCCGTCAGTGACTGAGAATCACTACTCACATAGTAGAGTATAGATGGGCTCATATGTTCAGGAAGGCAGAGTATAAATGCTTGATTAGTCTTCACAAAAGGACTTCATTTTTGAGAATTCTTTCTCCTGATATAATTTTTGTTTTGACAGATGTTTTAATTTTGTAATGAGTGAGTGAAAGTTTTACTTCATCTTGTAAAGTGTGCATTTTGCTCAAAGGAAATATTGTATTGAAGGCAAAATACTTCACAGAACCACAGAATGGCTGAGGCTGGAGGACCCTCTGTGCCCCTCTGGCCCATCCCTGGTCCAGCAGGAACACCCAGAGCAGGGGGCCCAGGCCTGTGGCCAGGCAGCTTCTGAACATCCCCAAGGAGGAGACCCCACAGCCTCTGGGCAACCTGTGCCAGTGCTCTGGCACCGCACAGCACAGCAGTGCTGCCTGGTGCTCAGAGGGAGCCTCCTGGCACTGGGCACCACTGAACAGAGCCCAGATCTGTCTTCATTGCCGTCCTCCCTTCAGATATTTATGGACACTGATAAGATCCCTCTGAGCCTCCTTTTATCCAGGCTGAGTAGCCCCAGTTCTCTCCACCTCTTCTCATAGCAGAGGTGCTCCAGGCCCTTGATCAAAGCCTTAGCCTGCATCACTACACCTATTTAAAATAGCATGCAGCAATCTAAATTTGTATCAACATTTCTTTGTAAACCTTATGGACAGCTGGCCACATATAATTTTAAATAAAGCAGAACAAAACAAAAGTCACCATGAAATCTTTAGGAAAACTGATTTCTTCTGAAAGTGTGCTTATCTTTGAGATGGGGTATGTTTTTACAGGTTTGTTTTAGAATGAATTAACGTACAAGCAAGAACTACAACAAGGAGAAGATGTTTTTCAGTTGCATTCCTGTTCGTTATGAAAAACTCTAAAAGCTTGGTATAAATGAACTTTATCATTTCTAGTGTGAGGACCATTTAGTCTTCACTTTGGTTTTTAGGGATTTCAATTTTAAATGACTGATGTTTTTTTTCTGGAGGATTCTCAAGTAAACACAGTTTTGCTTTTGTTGCTGTTTTCTGTTTGTTTGCATCAAATTATACCTAAATATTGTTTTTGTTTTTCAGAAGTATCGCAGTGTGTCAGTGGGGGCTGAAGAATACATTTATGAACAAACAAGGTATGGCATCAGCTTTGAAATATGTTAGCAGACATCACATAAGGGTTATCAAGGAAATGCTCCCTTGTCCACTTCCCACCCTCCTTTTTGTCAATCTGGGGCACTTGCAGACCTCTCTTGACACTGAGCAGCATTGTCCTTCCCTTCTCTGCATGCTAGTTTTCAAATCTGTGTGTATCTTCACCTGTTATCTTACCTTGGTTTGGGTTGAAACTTCTCTCGAGCCCTTGAAGTTACGTGAGATTAAATCTGTTCAGAAGAATTCTCCAGATAAAGGGGTGCGGCTTTGACAGCTGAGTCATGGAAAATCTTCCCCACCTTTTCAGGATGGCAGGTTGCACAGCTCTGATGTCTAAGGTGGCTCAACTAACTCTACTGACCTTTTGAAATTTCTGTCTTTTGGTTTTTTCCTTCCAGCTTTCTTAGTTACTCCTTGTAGGTTTTCTGGGAAACCCTCTGTCTTTTTACAATGCTTGTTATTATGTTTTAAGTTACTTATAAAGTTAGTAAAGCAGTTATTTAAAGTCATGTAAAACACGGAGAGTTTTTATAAGTTTTGGAAAAAAAAATTTAAAAACTGAAGTTTGAAAGGAGCACTGACCTCCCTGCTAAGAACAGAAAAAATGCCTGCACAGAAAGGGCAGATGCTGCACAGTCACTTAACTATGGCAGATTGTTATCAATGACATTTATAAGCCGATGCTTAATTTTAATCTCGTGAATAGTTCTGTTTATATCTGAGAGATTATACATGTTTTAAAAAACAGGAACATGCCTACATTATTTTTTTTTTCCTGGAGTAGGCACGGCTGCTTCTGTAGCAGAGGTTTCTTAGAGCCTGATCTTTTTTTTCTGAGCAATATTAAAACAATCATTAACTTCAGTGCGCTTGGAACTGAATTGCTGTGTGGGCAGTACGTATGAGGAGATCTGTAACAAAGAGTGCTACAGACTTAGACTGCCTGTTTATAAAATCAAATCCCGAAGCATTGGCCTTGCTAACAGTTCTCGGGCATTCAGTCTTTTCTGCTATGACGCAGGTCCACTTTGTACTGTAACCTCCAGATACGCACTAAGGAAAGAAAAGTCTTCTTTCCTAGGAGTTCTGTGGAAGTTGTAGATGCTCAGACATTAATGTTTCAGATTGAAAGTGATGAATGTGAAAGTAATTGAATATTTGATACAAAAGTCCTTAAATACATGGGCTTTAGTTAAAATCCATGGTGAGATTTAGAATAGCATTTTAACCGTTTGAGTGGCTGAAGGAAACTCCTGCTATAGCACGTGCTCTGGTTTGCCAGCTGGGAGCAAGGAGAAATTTCCCAAGTAGTAACACGGAGATTGCACAACTGGCCAGGGGCAGCCTGTCTGGGGTTTACTGTTAATGGAGCTTTAAAATTTTTGTGCTTTAAGATTTGCTCCTGAAAGTGAAAAGAACTAAAGCTAGGTGTTTTCTTCTGATTCATTTTTAAAAGAAGACTTGTAAAACCTTAATTGCATATTTTCTTTAAATAAATGAACTCCTGCCACTCCTCTTTGTATTGCTTCTCTGCCTAGTGCTTGAAAATAGCAGTTGGACTTTCTGTTCTTCATGTGCATCTTTTGCAGCAAGTTTTGTTCTGTTCTTACTGAATTTCTGTTTCTGTGGCACTACTAAGTGTAAATGTCTGTGGAGGTAGGTGGTTTCCTGATTAATACTGTAAATTATGCTTCATTCCTTCTTGGCATTTGACACTTTTGGTGGGATACATAGCCATGTTCTTTATGATGGTTCTCGGTTCTTTCCAGAGAAAGTAAAGAAGAGGTCTTTGATCCGAGACACTTACAGTTCAGATAGTTTTATGCTCACTTGCCAGACCTGATAAACTCAAAAGAAGAAATTTGCATTTTTCAATACTTGTGACATTTTGCAAGCATTTTATTTGTTTCCTAAGCCCTTTGCCATGTATATATACTGTATGAGATATGAAATGTGTGGGGACCAAGAGAAAAGGAGAAAGTGATATGGAATTTATTGTTGTTTCTTTCCCTGTCCTTTCAACAGCACTTTTCAGTATACACTAGAAGCTACCAAATCTCTGCGTCAAAAGCAAGGGGAGGGGCCTATGACCTACTTAAACAAAGGACAGTTCTACGCCATTACGCTGAGCGAGACGGGTGACAACAAATGTTTCCGGCATCCGATCAGCAAAGTCAGGGTATATTCCAACTTCTTTCCTAGATGGGAGTGGAGCTCTTCATATAAATGTAGTTGTAGTTGGTTGGTTTTTAGTTTTTTTTTTTTTTTTTTTTTTTGTGGAAGAGGACAGAAAAAGCGTACTCTTACATCTGATTTAAAGGTGGGAGAGTGATATTGCTGGTGGACTCAGTGTTGGAGTTAACTGATGAGTTGGGAGCGATCAATTGTATATGTATATATCTACTTTAGTATATCTACTTCAGTAGATATATACATACCTTAGTGTATGATTTTGGCAGAATGATCATTGCCCAGATATTGCTGCTGACATGGGTGAACTTATCATTGCCCAAATTAAAAAGAAAAATCAGAGAACTGCCACATTTGCTATGTAAGTCCATCTTTATCTGTGTACTTCAGCAGGTGCTCTCCAGTGTATTTCAGATAAAATGTGAAGAACTGAAGCCATCCTCTATGACACCAGTTTTTAAATAGTTACACTGGTTAAGTGTGAGCTGTCACTTGATGTTCACCTAGAAATATGCCAAAATAGATGATTTGCATCTCAGATTCTGAAAGCAAAACTGAAGCCGGGTGTTCAGCAACATCTGCCTAGTGAGCAAGACTCCTCATTTCCCTGGTGATGTTTTTGAGTAAGCAAATCCTAACCCAGTAACCTTGAAATGAGCAATTGAGCCTCAGAGTTGATGCCCTGCAAATTTCACCCTGAAGCTGGAAGGGCTGCATATGTATGAGGCTGCAAAAGTGTTTCCATCCAAATAAATGTTCCTTAAAAATGTTGTGACTTTAGTCACAGGAACCAATGAAAATCAACATGAGCAGTGAAGCAGGCAGCAAAGTTATATCATAGAATCATTTAAGTTGGAAGAGACCTTTAAAGGTCATTTTGTCCAACTCCCTTGTAATAAACAGGGACATCTACAGTTAAACCAGGTTGCTCAGTGCCTGATCCAGCCTGACCTTGATTGTCTCCAGGGGTTGGACATCCACCACATCTTTGGGCAACCTGTTCAATATGCTTCTGTCATACGTGAAGTTTAGAGACATGCTTTCTAAAGGCAATGATTTGTAAACCTGAACAGTAGTTAATTTTTGGCCTGGTTTCCTAAGGGCATGAGCTTGATGATGGTTTCACTGTTGACTGAAGCTGGTATAAGACTTCCCTATCGCTGAAAAGTCTCTGCCTTTGACATCCCCTCTTTGTGGTGCCAGCTCTGCCATTTCTGCAGCTGAAAAAGGAGTTGGGGATCTGATCTGGCTGTAAGCCAATCCTTGTAAGTCTGATTCACTACATATACACATGAGTTTTGAAGCAGCAGAAGAGATGGAATTTGTAAAGGAGAGATTTCTTCTAGCGAATATGTGGTTTAAAGAAGATCATGAAATCACACACAACTTTCACAGTCCTGTTGTGTTTACCAGGCACTCATTCAAGCAACTGATTAATTTACTGCCAATTTCGTCCAAACCTGACAGAAGGGCAAGGTGTTTGAAGGTATTAAGCCTCTGCAAGTTCAACGTATATGGTGCCTAGAAGAAAAAAAGAATAGCACCTCCCCTTGATGATGAAAATCTACAGTCTTCCACTCTGAGCTGCCAGTTCTGGTTAGTGTGTGGGCTGGCCAACTAGCACATACCTGCTGGCCAGTCAGTATGCAAACTCAAGACTCATCCATGTCATGTGCTGCTTTTTACCCATTCAGCAGTACGACACAGAAGATGTATAATGATGTCAGTTAGCTTTTGTAGGTCACGGAGCACATGAACGGTTACAGTGGTGAACGTGCATAGGGACATAGGTCATGAATCAATTGTGATCCAGTTCCTTACTTATGAAACAGTTTGTTGTTGTTTTTATGAGCTTGGTGACTCAGGGTTAAAGGAAGAACAGGAACAAAAGAAGATGTGTAGAAGCGATTTTGTTGTTTTGTTCTCCGTTATTTCTTTTCTTTGCAGGTTTCCTAGCATGAGCATTCTTTCATTGTTTTTGTATTTTTTATTTTCCTTGACTACAGCAGGGCTTTTTAAAAAAGCCTCTGTTACTGATGTGCAGTTTTGTATAATGTTTCAATCTGTTTCCCTTGAACCGCACAGTTTAAACAGAGGGAATCCAGAACTTGAACAGAAAAGCTCAGTGAAATCCAGTAAATATTCATGCTGAGTTTGTCATTACATACCTGTATGCAAGAGTCTTGCTCCTAAGAAGGACATTTGGACATTAAAACTGTATATTCATGTAAGAATATGAAGAAAAGCATCAATATTATCACCAGTCACGCTCAAATACTTACATTTTGTGGAATAAAATTTGCTTGAGGTTTTGGTGGTTGCAGGATCTTAACCTACTACCTTTTTTGTCAGGACATAATTATGTAACCCACAGAAGGCTTCTCCTTTTAACTCCCAACAGCACAAAGATACCAAATGAGACTTCTCTCTGAAGTTTTTGTTCCTCCATTGCACTGTCATCAGTATCCCATGCACAACTAAACTGCCTTTTGAAAATGTCCTACCTTTACTTCTAGTAAGTCTGAGCTCCATAAAAATACAACCACTATTTTAAAACTACATTTCTTTAGTTGTGAAATTTTATATGCAATTGCAGTATTGGACTGCAATAAAACCAGTGATCTTTTACAATCCAAGCACTGTGGGAGAGCACTGATTAGAACTGTTGTGTTTCTGACTATTAATTACATATTAACTAATGCACCCTCTGCTGTTGATTTTCTTAGAGCGTGGTCATGGTTGTTTTTAGTGAGGATAAAAACAGAGACGAGCAGCTGAAGTACTGGAAATACTGGCATTCCCGGCAGCACACAGCAAAGCAGAGGGTCCTTGACATCGGTAAGTATGAGAGGATGTTTTGGAGAAGACTGCAGAGTGTGGAATTCTCTGATGCCTTTCACAGAGATGTGGTGGAATATGTTGGCAGTGGCTGTGTGGGTTACACCCTAACTTTTAGCAGTGACTTATCCCTGCTAGGAAAGACTGTATGGTCTGTGAAGTAGGAAGGAGACTTGCAGACGAACAGTCCTCAGCAGTCATGGAGTAAAGCTTCTACTTGTAAATGTACTTTAACAGTGTTCCCTCTTTTGCTGGGAAATTGGTGTCTGTGCCTTCTCAGGAGTGGCTGAAGCATTTCCTTTTGCTTCTCTATGACTGGTCCATTCTTCAGTCCAGTACCAGCCCACATAATAGTTAAGTTAGCAAATCTAACAGAAAGGCTTCCAGGAAGATGTAAATGTTTCAGGGCTGTGTTGCTGTAAGGGCCTCACTGTTGTGTAAGTGGAACCTGAGACTTAAGATACCGTCATTATGGTGACTGCAAATAAGCACCCAGGTCTCCTCCACCACCTGTTTTTGAGTCTTGTCAGTGTTGGAGTAAAGTGAGGGAGACATGCTGAGTTCTGGTGTGCTATCCTGAGAGACCTGTTTACTGTTCATCCTGTCTAATTCGCAAGCCCATCTCGATCAGAACTGCTCTGTCTGTGTGCTTGGGAGATTAGAACACAAGAAGAGCACGTACCTGTTGCACAGGAGCCTAAAGTTGAAATCTGTGGGAGTGTCTAGACATCAAGCACTTCTTCCCTCCCACGGACAGTTTACACACGCAGCCATCTGCAGCTGATCCTTGTCAAAGGAGATGGTGAGAGCAAAACAGACAAAGTCTATCTTGTTTTCACTGCCTGAGGGAACCAAACCATTGAATGGCAGGAATGAGAGGGAGCAGGGCGGGGAGGGAAACAGAGAGAGGACACTGATGAGCATACTGTATGACTTCATGGGGGACCAAACACCTCCAGCACTGGGAAGTGGTTCCCAGAATGGTCCTACTCATACAGTGCCTTTTGACTTTCAAATGCTGCACCCTCCAGTGAAGTTGGCATAAATCAGATGTGTTTGGTCAAAGCCACTGGTCTTCTATTCCAGCATCTCCTCACTGCCTCTTGTCTTATTATCATGGTTCTGGCTGAACAGTTTCCCCAACTTCCGTTTTTCTCCTGTGGGGGTATTTAAGGCAGCGAAACCTCCACCTCAGCCCAAATGACTCCTGTCATGACACCTGGTAAAAGAGCCAATATGTCATGTCACAGCTGTTTCTGAAGGCTGCCTTTGTGCTAGTCCCTACAAGCTTATGGTGCTAACGCATACCTTTGAAGGGATGTGTCAGAGAGCTCCTTCCATTGCCGTGCCAACACCTTCTGGCACTGCCACATCAGTGTTTTGTCTGTGGTGTGCAGCACACATCAGTCCCCATATCCAGCAGCTCAGTTTATGATACATGTTCTGTAAAACAGTGCTCTGAGCTGTGTGTTTACCCATCTTAAAGCAAATGTCTTTTATGTTGCCATTAATTTGAGATGAAATAGATCTGTGCTGACTTTTGAGGCACTGTGGCATGTTTCCTTTATTTGAACTGCAAACATGAGCAAAGTGCAGTGGAGGAGTTCCTGATACAGACCTGAGAACTGTAAGAGCACAGTTTGTTCAGCACTTTCAGATGAAAGGCTTGAATGCTGCTCAGGTACTGCTATCTTGAGAACATCTGAGATCCAGCTTTAACTTAACTATGTACACTGTTTTTTAAGCACATTTTGTTTTGTTTATGACTTGCATTGCGGATGTTGTTAGGACATGATGGCCCCAAATGCATCTTTTGTATAAGCATCAGCCTGCATTTAGCAAAATCTTCTCTTTTTCTTATGGGTTGATCTAAATTGACTTTGCTCTGCGGGATAGGCTTGATACCGTTAACCTCCAGAGTTCCTCCTAGCCTAAATCCTTGTGTCATTCTATGCAGATTTTCCTTTGAGTTAAGAATTCAGCCCAAGGTACTGGGAGAGCTCCTGTAAAGGAGCACTGCATTAATGGCCACACCCTGTGTAGTTAAAGGAGAGAATTAGGTGTTCATGAGCGAGATTAGCAAGTACCAGGATACTCCCTGAGGAACCTTTTAAAGGGCAGTGACGGAGTTTTGTTAAGGGCAGGGGTGTGCATCAAATCTGTTTTATCCTCAGAGGATGACCTGATGATCTCTGCTGGTAGCCCTGCTTCTCAGTTCTTTGAGCTCTCATTAACTAGCAGTATGCAGAGGGTTACACAGCTATTAGGCGCCTTTCTAACTCTATATCTGGGAATAGCCATTAACATGTATACTTTATTTCACAAAGTTTATAAACATTCATATTATTTTAACTTCACATTTGTAACATATATTTAACATCCGCGAGTCCATTTTAGTTGTTTATGAGTGCACTTTACATCCAAAGCATGACTTAGCAGCAAAAGGATTACATAAATTTGAAATACTCTAGTTCTGAAGTCCATCTATTCAGTCCTCAGGCAGGAATGACTCTGCTGCTTGTGCTGCTTCTTCAGTGATTCAGGTCTGCTAGTCTTCCTTCTTTGTATCCTGGAGATCAGAGGCAATAAGGAGGCTTATTCCCTCAGTTTGAACATGCAGGAGTTACTGCTGTATTTGTTTTGCAGACTGGTGCTCTTTTGGATAGGAATGGTGATTGAATGACTTAGATTCTGTGTGGATCTGCAGATGCATTATTATTAATAGGATAAGTATATACTTAAATGTAAGTCCTTAGTGCTTGAAGACTTAAGCAAGAAGGAATTTAGGCTAAAGCTGTTTTGGATTTTTGTGGAGAGAGCAGCACTTCGTTCTTGTTACCAGCAGGAGTGAGAGATATTGCTGAGTTTCCACACTGCTGTGCTATGATGTTGGATCTCTTTTAAAATGAAATGAATAAAGAATACAATATTAGGTTACATCAAATCAGAGTAAGTACTGTAAATTGACAAATACTGGAGCTTCCAACATGAACATAAATAGTGATTATGGAAGCCTGAGGTTGGGATTATCTGTGCTCCAGTGTTTTACCTATGTATTTTCCAAGAAATATTGTATTATTTATGTGCTGTATAAAAAAGAGCTACTAGAGTGGTATGTAACACATGACAGACATTAGCTGTTAATGTTGAAATCTGTCATTATTTAAAATGCAGCTTACCCACCAAAATGGGAAATAATTCCTTTAGAGCTGTTTTGCTTATTGAAGAACCTCAATTTTCTGTTTTTGGTAACTCATAGCAGTAGAAGATGAAAATTGTAGTCACTCTAATAACTTTTACATGTCCTTGGGTGTAAATGCTGTCATAATCTGCTGAGGATTTTTCTTGGCTTATCTGCAAATTGAAGGTAATGGGAAGGCATTCTGCTTTCAGCAGCATGTCACATACACAGTCCATGGGATGTGTGTGTGTGCCAATTGAGGAAGCAGGTGTGTGTGCTGGGGGAAGGGAAGGGCTGGTGGAATACTCTGTTCTGACAGCTTTTTATGGGAAGAAAACATGTGTCTTTACAAGACATCTTGTTCATGTCTTTCCAAAGTGCACCTACACAGCCTGCTCATATACAGCAGTCAGCTGCACGAGACACTTTCTGGTGAATCGTAAATCTAAGGGGTGGGAGGACGTGTGCACATGAATATCAAACTACTGTGTCTTCTAATTCCTCTCATTTGCATTCCCACACTGAATTTAGATAGTGAAGCCACTGACTTTGGTTAGAAAGGGGATCTGAGTTCACAATAGGAATGAACAACACTTCAGACCTCCCAAACACCACACGCAGTTGCTGCATCACCGCCTGTGGTCAGAGCGGTGAATTCTCATCGTATCCAAAATCACTTATGGATCCCAGGGACAGTTTCACTTGCTCACTGAAATGCCAGTGCTTCAGATGAGAGAAAGCATGGTAGTGACTGCCAAGTGTTAAATCATTCCTACAACAGCATTTTTGTTATAAAACTTTTAAAACAGTTATTACCTGTGCATTGTTTTTAAAGACCAATAGTTCATTTTTGGAAGGGCAAAGGAAATTAGTTTTGAAACTACTAGAGAAATGCATTCCATGTGTTGAATACAAAAATATCCTTAATGTAACTGAATACAAAGCTAAGAATCAGTATGCTTCTGAAGCACAGATTTGGGCAAATGTTAGAGTGATTGGGATTGCCAGGTTACGTAACTTCAGCTCCTCAGCACTGAGTCTGATTAAAGCCCTCACGGGGTTCTGAGGAAATATGTGGATCCCAGAGAAGGTTGGAGCATTTTTTAACCAAATCTGGAGGTTCCTTTAATGGAGAAGACATTACCTCTTTACAAACAAGATCTTTCTTTTAATCTGCCATCGAAGAGAACAAAATGTGTTTAAAGTGGCAAAGGGAACACAAAAAGAGACTTGTCTTTGTTTTCAATTAAAGAAGAGTGGCAAATTTCTTCCTTACATGCTTTTCTCACTGTTACACTGTTTGTTTTTTATTATTATTATTATTTAAATTTTTTGGTCATGTTTGAAATTCAGACTGCTTCCCTCTTGCTTTTTATTCCTTCTGTAGAGCTGCTTTAGTTGGTAATATAACATCAACTGCCACTTGGAAGTAAACAGGGAGAGGATGCAGACAGTTGTATTCAGACAGTACATCTTTTACATTTTTTGTTGTCTACTTTAGATACATACATACTTTGGAGAAAGGATCTTTGTTTGCTTTGTTTTAGTAGAGATGCAGCACCCAGTGCAGTAATTCTTGGGTAAGCTGAAATTGTTGGGTGAGAAAAGTGCACTGCTGTTAGCTTGTTAGAAAGCTTCTTTAGAATTTACTATGAGGTCATTTATTGGTAGCAAGCCTTAAACATCCTTTTCAATGTTTTAATAACTTTCAGTTAATTTTGAATTCTTGGCCCTTCCCTCGCCAAGATCATGAATGCACCTACTCTTTGCCACTACAATCACAGGTTCTTTTTAGAAGAAACAGTATTTTGCAATAACAGCAGCAAGTAATGTGCTCATGTTGCAATATATTACCTCTTTGCAATTAAGCTTATTAATAACTTGATGTAAATAATACAGTAGGTAGTTCTGATCCAACAGAAAACCCAGCTGAAAAGCAAAGGGCTGTTCTATAGTTGTACTATGAACTGTAAAAGAGAAAGTTCAAAGCTTTTTTGTGAGACTTTGTTATTTCTTGCAGCTGATTACAAAGAGAGTTTTAATACCATTGGGAATATTGAAGAAATTGCCTTCAATGCCGTGTCCTTTACTTGGGATGTCAATGAGGAGGCAAAGGTAAGGAAAATCCATGCAGATTATATCCCTTTATAAGTATCATCCATCCTCAGTCACTGCTGCATTTCTTTCCTATTAAACAAGGAGAATAAGAAGGGAAGGGAAGGTAGAGGTCTCCTGAAAGCCAGTCAAACGGTCTTTCTCTGACCAGAGGGATTCTGGCCATCCGAAATAGGGAAGATGGTTTGTCAGAGCTGTCAGGATAACACTATTAAGTGCCCTACAGATAAGGCATCCAAAGAGTAGCAGAGTGTTTCAGCTACAGGGACTACTGCAGGAGAAATGAAAAGCTGCAGATAATTATAAGAACAAGTTTTCCTCCAGAAAGCAAATAGCAAGGGAAATTAGGCTGTGTAAAATGAATGGGGCTATGGCAAGACTCTCCAGGACTTAGACATAATAAATTGACGATACTGTCACTCTTGATACTGTTTTTGTTTTTAACCCTGCCTGTGGCTGTGGAATTGCAACTTAATGATCCTAGAGATCCCTTTCTATTCCAGCCAAAGTGTCCAACAGTCAAGATGTGCTAAGGATCAATCAAATACAGAGACATCTTCATGCACAGTTCCCCACTGAATTTCTAACAGAACAGTGTCATCCTTGTGAGACTGCAGAAAATGAAGTGTGGTAGCACTAGCACTCACTATCCTGACCTGCTGATTGAAGGTGCTGAGCTCTGTACTAACAGGGATTTTCATTGTCAATGTAAATTTTGTAAGAATAGAGCACTATTTAAAGAAAAGGCAGTAGTTCTGAAAACTGCCTTGCTCTTTCGGAAGGTAACCTTTATGAACAGTTGTACTTGGCCCAGTTGCTAATAATGCTGTATTTACTTGCATAGTGATTACATTTTCACCGCCCTGGACACTCCCCTGCTATGTGATTCCATTTCCAAATACAGAGGTACATTGTCCTCCAGTCAAAACATATGACCATTGTATGCATGTGGTCATTATGCCAGCAAATGCAGCAGTTCATTTGGGATTTCCAACATGATTGACTTTCGTAAGGACCTTCACAGAAGCACTAACAGCTGAAGCATGGCAGTGCCATCTCTTCCTCCCACCAGTGATCGCCATCCCATTGCCAAGCTGGCCATTTCTAAATATATTTGCATTTTCAGCCTCCAGATTTAGGAAGAAACTATGTTGGTCTAGAATTGAGAAGGTTACAGCCACGGATGTCAGGTATTATCCTCATCCATTTTGTTCTAATATTGCACCGTTCATTCCTTCCTCGGCTGCCAAAACACTGAGAACACAGCTCTCACTATGATCACTGAAATATAACATCGGAGGATTTTAAAACAATGACTCTTATTGTTGCTGGTGTAACAAAGTGTCGAGTAAAATTTGAGATTGCCATTTGCATTTCTGCAGGAAATAGTGATTAAAATGCAAATTGGCTTATACTTCTTTTATTTTGAGGGGTAGTTATCAGATACTTAATATTTTAGGTGCTTAACTGCGAAAGTCTTGATAAAAGTAAGAGGATTCATTACGTTATTTGGTTATCAAGCATAAATCAGGTTGTACCAGTAAGCTTGTCGTCATCCTGCGCTGAAGAGTTTCCCATGTACACGTACACATGCAGACATGCACGCTCTTGTTGGAGACTTTAATAAAATAACCAACTGCAGTCAGTCTGGGGATTCCCATAGGATCCCCCTGTAGTGTTTGAAAGGTATGGACTTGGAGTCACGTCACTGAAAGCAGATTTTTCTCCAGCAATTACCTCATGCAAGAGAGATGAAGAATTTGAAGCCCTAATTACAGACTCTCCTTGCTTAAGCATTTTGAATGATGATCTTTAAACTGGCTCCATTGTTTCTGCTCAGTGTTGTTTTCCCTTTTCACCACAATTTCCAGATTAAAGGTAACCTCACAGGCACAAAGACCTTTCTCTTCTGAGTCAGACAAAAGCAGCACAGAGCAGTTCTTTCCAGGGCCTCTGAGATGCGATGTGATGAAGCGCTCTGCTGGCCTGGGAAAAAATAAAAAAAATAGAGCAGGCTTTAGAACTGCACAAGGGAGTGATCTTCAAAAATCTAACAGGAGGAACAGAAGTCACCTAACCAAATATCCCTGCTCCTGGGAGACCAAATCCTATATCTGGGAAGACTTACCTCAAGCATCAGATTTCTCAGTGCTCCACCTGGAGGGCAGCTGATTTAAAGCCAGATATTTTTCTCCTCTGACACTCAAGCTGAGTTGTACCTTCTTCCTGGAAACCTCACAGGATGAGAGTGACAACCAGAATTTGCCTGTTAGCAGTCAGTCTGCTTAGGAGTTATAAGGCAGCATTTCAGTTGCATCTTACGTGAAGAAATGTGTGTTTAATTAATTCAGGCAGAGGTCTCTCTATTGCCTCAGTAGCATGGCAAGAGGGTATTGCCTCTTTCTAGAAGGGGTAAACTCTTTCTAGAGATTACCATGGGGCTTATCATTCAGACTTGGGATATAGGAAAGCGAAGGATCTACGGCTGTCAGACTCTTTGAGACAAAAATACTGTTCGATAAGGAAACAATGATAGGAAGTAAAGAACATTTTTTGTATGGTCCGTCTTTGTTTCACTTATGCATTTACTTATGTATGCAAGTACTCAGCATTTACGGGCACAGTGATTTGCTGGTTCCCTTTAGCTGAACCTGTGCACCGTGTTTGTTATTTTAAAAATAATTCTTTAAAGGAAGGTAAGGAAACAAACAGCAGTTAACAAGAACTGGCTGACTAATTTCATCATCTCTTAAAAGACTTTTTATGATATGCTAAGAGGTAGGTAGTTGCCTTGCTGTTGCTGTAATGAAGGTTTTGCTGGAGTATTTGGCTGCTTGACAAAGTTTTAATGGAAGCTTTTGAACAGAGAGCTCAGCTTGCTTTTTGATAGACATACCTCTGCCCGCTTACAGTTTTATTGCTGGCAGAATTTAGTTTGCAAAGAAGGGAATTAAGAAGCAGAACACTCCTAGCAAAATTAGGTTATTTTTGTAGTAAATCATACCAGCTCTTTGAGATATACCTTGTTTCTAACTCATGATTTCTAATTTAATTTTCTAATTTAAAATGGTGAGGATGATGTAGCCTTGAAACAATACATTATTTGTATATTTTGCTGGACAGTGTTTTTCCAACCTTAAATTCTGAGGTGACTTCAGTGAACAGTTGGTGAAGAAAACTCACTTAAAGCAGATAAAGAATACTTCTCAGTGATAGCAAAAAATTACTGACTTGTGCAAAGTCATCCAACTTGGACATGCAGTAAACAGATATGTTGGTGGATGTATTATTCATGTAGGTGCTGGCACATAGTTTTTGGTAGTTGTGTGCTGTGCAGTTGTATCGAAATGTAGATCTCTAATTCAAAACACGCTGAAGCCCATGGGAACCTTTCCAGTTATTTAATGACTTTTGGCACAGCTGATACAGTAATAAGCTGTGTTTTCAAAGAGTGAGTGATTTGGAGGATTGGGTTCCTAGACATCGTGGACTGCAGTGAGATATGATTCCAGTGGGTGTAGATGTAAAACGGAGTTGATAAAACAGTACAGTCTGTAGCAGCAATTTGTAATGTGACAGTTCATATATCTTTAACATCAGTAGGAATATGTAGGAAAAAGTTTCTTAGAATTATAGAATGTCTTAGGCTGGAAGGGACCTTAAAGACCGTTTAGTTCCAACCTCTCTGCTGTGGACAGGATTGTCACCCGCTAGGTCAGGCTTACTGAGGCCCTATCCAACCTGGCCTTCGGATGGGGTATCCACAACTTCCCTGGGCATCCTGTGCTAGTTCCTCATCACCTTCCAGTTTCCCCTTAGCATCTAATCTAAACTTCCCCTCTTTTAGTTCAAAACCATTCTCATTGTCCTGTCTCTATCAGACCGTGTAAAAAAATCAGGGACGTTTTTATCTTTTTATCTTTTTTTTAATCTTTATATAAGATCCCTTTAAGTACTGAAAGCCACAATGAGGTCTCCCTGGAGCATTTTCTTCTCCCAGTTGAACAACCCCAGCTCTCTCAGCCTTTCTTCATAGGAGAGGTGTGCCAGCCCTCTGATCATTATTGTGGGTCTTCTTTGGACCCATTCCAACAACTCTATCTTTCTTGTGCTGGGGGCCCCATACTTGGATGCAGTACTGCAGGTGGGGCGTCATGAGGGCAGACCTGAGAGGGACAGTCCCCTCCTTCCTTCACCCTGCTGGCTACACATGGACATGGAGCTGTTGACCACAACTCTCTGGCTGCAATCATGCAGCTGGTTCCTTATCCATTGAATATTCAGTCCTCTTCAAATCCATCTATCTTCAATTTAGAGATAAGGATGTAGTGTGGGACCATTCAGGTCAAAGGCCTTCAAAAGTCCAGGTAGATGACATCAAATAATCTATCTTCCCTGGCCCAGTGGTGCTGTTACTCCATTATAGAAGGCTGCCAAATTGATCAGGCATGATCTGCCCTTAGTGAAGCCATGCTGGCTGTCTCAGATCACTTCCTTGTCTTGCATATGCTTTACCATAGCTTCCAGGAGGATCCATTCCATGGTCTTCCCAGGTACAGAGATGAGGCTACTAAACTGTAGTTTCCTGGATCTTCCTTTCTACTTTCTTAAAAATGAGAGTGATATCTCCCTTTTTCCAGTCCCTGGGGACTTTGCCTGAGAGTCATGTATTTCATACTAGATGGAAAGTGGCCTGGCAACTACATCAGCCAGTTCCTCCAGGACTCCAGTATACATGTTGTCCAACCCAATAGATCTGTACACATTACATTTCATCAGATGATCTCGAACACACTCCTCACTCACAGTGTGAGGGATTTTGCTCCCCCAGGGACAATTTCCCAGGGGATCTAGAATTTCACTCTTAAGGTTCATTATCCTGACTTTGCTCTTTGCCAGGCCCATATTCCTCGAGATCACAAGTTCAGCCAGGGTGCAGTCACTGCAGCCCACACTGCCTCCAATCTTAACCTCTTAAATGAGTTCATCTGCATTGGTGAGCACTAAGTCCAGTAATGCTTCTTCTCTGTTTGGTCTATCCAGTATCTGGATCAGGAAATTATCCTCAACAGACTCCAGAAGTCTTCTGAATTGCATGCAGTCTACCATTTTGCTTTCCCAGCAGACATCCAGGCGGTTGAAATACCCCATCAGGATGAGAGCCTGTGAGTGCAATGCTCCTTGCTGCTGAAGTGCAAAGGCTTTCATTCGTAGGGGATAAGTTAATATTTTCTTATTCTCAAAATTTGAAGGCTGAAGAAAAAACTGCTTTTTTGGGAGGAATTAGTACCATGTAGTATTGTACTTGTCATCTACTTTGATAAATCATATCTGCGTGTGTAAATGTGCATATTTATCTTTACTATATATATATTTAAGCATGCAAACATATCTAAACATCGAACACCAGATCACTGAGGTTGGAAAAGGCCAACCATCCAACTACCACCAATATTACCCATTAACCCACATTCCATAGTACCTCTCCTTATGCTAAAGACAAGTTAACCCATGCTAGCAAATGATGCTGAAATTTCGCTGTAGACAAATGGTTCAGTAAGTGTGCATCTGGGATTCAAGGCAAATGGCATTTTTATGTAGTTGCCAGGGTGTGGTGTGGATTGAGGAAGCTTCAAAAGAGCAGTGTAAACATTTGCTAGAGACATTTGTATTGAAATAAAACAAAGATCTTACCTTTGTATGGGATTTATAAGGTAACGGCTGGCAGGAGAAACTATAAAACCACAGTTTTTGTATATAGGAGGAACGATGGGATTGATGTTAGTAATTAAAGCGACAAGTCGTTTAACCTCTTCCTGCTACAGTCTGGAAGGATGAACCCTTTTTAAACAGGGCCATTGGGATTTTGCAGAGACCAGTCACCAGGCATAGCTTCTATGCATTATCACTATTCAGTAGAGAAATTGCTTAAAGTTTCTGATTCTGTGGATAACACTCTTCCCTCCCTTCTGCCCATGGCTCTTTCTGAGTTGATGGAAGTCAGAAGTGTAAATAGTAATAAAAATTTATATTAGAAATTTCGTAACTGCAGACCTTTAAAGTGTGTAAACTGAGAGACCACAACAGGAGTCACGTTGGCTGGATTAAATGATAAAAGGGGAAATGCATTTCTGAGCCTTGCTTTCTTAAGGCAGGTTACTGTATTTGGATCTTGTACATCACTAATTACACTGCAGTGTTTAACAAACAGCCAGTAATTCATATAATAACAGCTACATGTAATGGAGCTCAAAAGAGAGTGCATTTTTTAGGCATACTCTTTTACAATCAGAAGAGTTGTCATTATCTTAGGTCATTTTTGAAGCTTTCTCAGGCACCAAATGTTTCTCCAAATTAGTTTTTCATTGCTAATGGCATGTCTGAGCTGGAACTCGATGGGAGGAACGCTATCATTAATTGCTCTAATCTCAGATATGCTGACATCGTAAAAAAGACAACATTATAGTGACAACACAAACTTGTTCCTGATAGCAAAACATTGCTAAAATCTGATTTGCAAAGGAGAAAAAAAAAGTTTGTAAATGAATTCAGATATAACCATGGTCGCATCCATTAAAATAGTTCTAAGTCAAGTGTAGATGTGGCCCTGGAGAAAAAAAAGCAGCAATTGTTACCCCTGCTAGTGTCAGTTCTACACTATCTAACCACATAAGCTTGCCATGCAGGAGGCCAGAGCAGAAGGGCTCTGAGAGCTTAGTGCCTCCCCAGAGCTGAGGGCCTTCCCCTGCTTGAGGCTGCCCGTGGGGCCACGTGCTGTGCTGCTTGACTCAGCTCACTGTGAGCTGGTGGCAGGGGCTGCACTGGGGGGGTGAGAGGAGGGCTAAGGATGGGGCAGCAAAAATACTTCACTCAAGTAACACAACTTCTGTCATCTTCCTCTTCCCTCTGCATCCTCCCTCCCCTTTCCAAACCCTCACTCAGTGTTGTGCCCTAAAGAAAAGCTAGTAGATTGTGAACAGAGAGAAAATGTTTCCAACAATAAATGATATGTGTAAATTCGAATCCATCTGTCTTTCCATGAGGCACAAGTGATATGACAGAAAGTAGTGTACTCTTTGTGCATGTGAACCTAAAGTGATCATTGCTCCTCAGAGAGCTCCTGATGTATTGCGGTGTCACGATGAGGATATTGAATCTCACAGCACCAATCTATTATTCATAATGAGTAATCCACTATATGAGGACTCTCAAATTCATAAAGTCTGTCTTGCCCCATCGCTCCTACTGTGCTCTGTATGCCCAGAGGCAGTGGGAGAGGTGACACTCAGAGGATGTGGTTGATGAAGATAGGACAAGGCCTTTCTTTGCCTTTTGGCTGAGCGTGCAGTAGGGGTGGTGCATGCAAAGCCTGTCTGTCCCCTCACACTTTAACATACGGTTTGGAAAATCCCACTGTAGAAGTATGCTAAAGCACAGCGGGGCAGGATTGTTTCATGCCAGACCTCATTCAAGTGCTCTGTGTTCACACACATTTTAAAGCACTGCCTTGATGCTGTAAAGGAGTCTCAAGGCAAATGAAAATTCAGGCCATCGTATTTCAAAGGCATATGCACCCATATCCACACTTACCTTTGGATCTGGAGGAGACCAAGTTGTAATTTGAAACAGAAATAACACTATCAGTTTCAAAATCAGAGTTTCACCTAGGGCCCTTCCCCACCTCCCTCCTCTCCCCACAGTTAAAGTTCAACTATTTCATTTGTAAATGCAGCTCTGCGATACCATCTGAAGCAGAAATGCAGAGGTGCTATTAGCTCAGTCAGGCAAACAAGCTTGCTCTGGCTCCATCGTAAAAACCTGCCTGTAATGTACCTTCTGCCATTAGGGTAAAGTATCCCCCACCAGTTGTACCAGAGACCTTTATTCTGAGCTCACCTTTCTTTTGGGGATGTTTGCATTTTGTTCATTCGTTTTGAGTTTTTGCCCTGTTTATAGTCAAGCGGGAAGACTTCCTTCATTCTTGAGTCCTCCCAGATTCGGGGGGCCTTTGGCCTCACCTCTGCCTGGCAGGGTGTGCATTTGTGGTGTTCCAAAGCCCTTCTCACTGTGCTCATCCTGCTGGAGCAGCTGCACATCAATGTGGCTCAGGGAATGAGCACTGACAATTTTTTCTGTCCTTTTTCATACCTCCCAGTGCTTGTTTTTTGTGTGTGTGTTTTGGTTTTTTTTTTTCTTTTCTTTTTTTAACTAAGCACAAGTGGAAAGTAGAATTATTTTAACACACAACTGGTAAAAATTCTTATGTAAAGCACAAATTCTTCCCTGGGAAGAAAAATTGCTTTTTTTAATACAGTTTCATCTCTCATATTTCATGCACGCTGCCCTGACTGAAAGATCTTAGTGATAATGCAGATCACAGTAGCAGCTTTCTTTACACCAAAAGAAGCTTGGAGGTGGGAGACCCTTCTGCCAGCTTCTATATGAACATAAGGCAGAAGCGATAGTTCGTACGCAACATACGTAAAATATATGTTTTAGAAAGCAGGAGATAACTACTGGTTACCTGAGTAATGTAAGAGATGTAAGTATGTGTAGTAGGAAAGCATGAGAACAGGTTTTTGAAGAACATACAGGCAGAGTTTGTCAGGGATCGAAAGCATTGTCAGGTTTCGTAGATGCTTCATGGAAGTGGTGGGCTTCTGAGAAGAGGTTGGAGGTAGCATTAGAAATATTTAAGGAGCTTTTTCCCAGTTTGACAGAGAAGAAGAGATGCTTTTTGGACGCTGAAGAGAGACTGCGAAGGACCCTCACAATGAAGATGAGGGCTATCTGTTAATGAGATGGAGGAAAGAGTGCTGGTGTTAGGAGCATGGAAAGAATCTCTGAAAAAGCGTAGGATTTTTGCTTGAGCGCACTGACTGTGAGTTGCGAGATGTCAGAAGACCCAAAGATGGCTGGGAAGGACAATGCAAGGTCATCTCACTGTGTCTGTGCTAACAAATAGTATAAATGTACACATCAGGTTTGTGGAGTGGAACAAGTCAGGGCTAAAAAACTGACATCTACGTGAGACATATTTTTGGAGGTTTTATCTTACATTATCTTTAATCAGTTCCCATAAACTGAGCGGCCATTAGCAGCTGGAGCATCTGGGGTGTTCTCCTGGGTCACTTCTGCTCTGACTCTTCCCAAAAGAATCCAGTTTATGCACACTGGCTCTTTGATCCAAGGCATGGTAAGTTGGGGCAATCAAGTGATTCACTTCAGATGGGAACTGAACCAAACTAAAGCATTGATACATGCCTTAAAAAATCCCTTTCTCAACGTGGGAGCACCTTTGCTGGACTTAGGACAGAAGTGGAAAATAAATAAATGTGTGAGTTGTTAGAACTGTCTGAATTAATATTTTGGGGGGGGGAGATCTGCTCTTCTCTGTTTCCAGAAGTTTAGTGGTTGTTTGCACGTCATTTAAGGTCATCTCTCTGTCACACAGATTTTCATCACAGTGAACTGCTTGAGCACAGACTTCTCTTCTCAAAAAGGTGTAAAGGGGCTTCCTTTGATGATTCAGATAGATACATACAGCTACAACAACCGCAGCAATAAACCCATCCACCGAGCCTACTGCCAGATCAAGGTTTTCTGCGATAAGGTAAGTGGAATGTACAATTACCATGGATAAGGGAAGCACCTCATTTGACAGTTTGTTATTATTGCTGTATTTCAGATCTAATAAAAAGTTTTTCTCCCCAGTAAATTATGTTTCTGGTAGAATTTGGACCAGCTGTATCACAAATCTAGGAGGTTTTCACCCAGTTATTTTACTGCTTTGCAGCCTCTTTGGCCCTGATTCTTTGGCTTGTGAGCAGTAGTTGGACTGTGCAGGGACAGCATGGCACACGAAGATCAAGATAGTCACAGAATGCACTAAGATGCATCTCTGCTTGAGAAGTCAACAATGACCACAGGGTTATGCAAGTGCCATTCTGATGGTGTTATACCTTCTACTTCTAACAGTCAGCATAGGCAACTTTGTGGAGAGATCTGTGATAGAGAACTGTGATAGAGTTTTATTCAATAAAGGTTTGCTAGTTTGTCTTTAATGATGCTTTAGAAAGACCCAGTGATGTAACTGATGGCTTCTTTACTGCTTGATTACAAACAGTTATTCTGAGAGCTTGAATGAAAATTTTCATCACTGGAATTTTCTTATTCAAAACCAACTGCAAAAATATGTTAAACATTCTCATGTTGTGTTTCAGTATCTTTTGTTTCTTGCTCATTTCTTTTGCGTAATTTATTCCTTTACAGTGGTTTTTTTCTCATTCCTTTGTAGGGATTGGTAAAATTTGGCAGGTTACTTTTCAATATCAAAACATAGATCATGTTTTAATGAGTCTGACAACGTCATGGTCAGCTGTTTATCACCAGATAGAAAGAGCTGTTCTGAAATGTTATCTCTGTGATGACAATTCTTAAATGTATAGCATGACTACGTTTCATTTGTGTTTAACGCCTGGCATCCCTGCTGGGAAAGATCTTCCTAGGGAGGGTTGATGCCTGGATTCTCGTCAAGGTTCAGGGATTCAGGAGCTTGCATCTTTTTATGTGACTTGGAAATTTATCCAAATTAGTCTTCCTATCTTACAGATGGGAGCAGAAAGTCAAAAGGCCTTGCCCCCGGGCAATACGTGGCATTAACTTTATAATGGAAAGGGCAGGAGTTCAACTGTTCCAGGTCTTTGCTACTGCTCCTTCCCCTTTTTCAGTTAGTTCTGTTCTTGCTGTCTTGACAACGGGATCGTGGGGGCTAATTGGTCAGTTGTATTACTGGAGTAAAAAATTTGAGAGTAATGAATGTAAATGTATGCACCAAGGTCTTCTTGCAGTCAAAGTGTTACACTTTTAATTGTAACTTTGAATGTCAAATATTTGGAGATATGAAGCTGCAGATAGATATTAAAAGCTCCATAAATACCAAAGTAGCAAGTCATTTTCGTCTACCTGTTTTTGAAAAGCAATTAGAAAAAAATTGAATTATTAAAAGAAAGGAAGGAAATTCAGAACACAAACTCATCAAGGGTGACCCGCAGACACAACTGGTGGAGATTTTGAATAATACATGCTCACTGCATCTACTGGCTTAATTGGTACTTCAAACATCCAGACGAGGAAGCAGGAAATTAATGTTAAGACTTCTAATCAAAACTGTCTCAAAGTAGAAGAAGAGATCACAGGGGTAATTAAAGCATTATGCGTATCAAAACTATTGAAACTGGGAACTGGAGGGCTCAAGGGTATTGATAATGAGATGTGTATCTATATAAAATAAATGTATACATGCATACACACACACACGAGGCTTTTCAACTTAATGCAAGGCTGAAAATGAATTAAGTAAATAAAACTGAATGAAAATTATCTAGGTCAATTCATATGACAACTTCTGTTCATTGGCACTTGGAAAGAGGCTGAAGCCCAATTCTCCTCTCACTTTACACTGGCCTATCTTTACTGACATCAGTTTCTCATTATGCTTTTGTCCGTCAATAAATGGTTGGAGAATCAAAACTCCTGTGCCAGCTCAGCGTGGTGATTGCACTCCTGTCCACATGGGAGCCATCCTGTGTTTCTCACAACTGCACATTGCACTCAGCTGCAGACAGCTGATGGAGCTGGACATGGCCATCTTTTCAAGGTGCCAGAATATATCCTGGCAGTGGCTGACACGATGCTGGGTGGAGGGTCGCTCCTCCAGGTCTTATACTCACCCTTTAGTGAAAATGACAGGATTTAGTGTCTGCTTGGTAAAGGCAACAGAGCAAAGACAATTTTTTGTCCAATTTGTCGTGATTAATTAAAAAAAATACTATGGAGGGATTGTAAGTAGCAAGCATATGATCATTTGATACATTCTAAAAGTCTGAATTGAACCGTTATACCCCAGTGTGGCAACCGCAAAGAGAAGCTGGTAAGAAAAGTGATTGATTTATTAAAATTATCTGGATTAGGGGAACTGCACAGTAAATTCCTCCCACTGAAGTTCTGAAATGTATCTTAGTTTGAAACAGAGACGAAGAAGTATTTGTTTTGTCTGTTTTTATAAATGGTCTGTCTGCAGCTGTGGTGCCTCTTTCAGAGCAGTAGATGTGTTTATCCTAGTTAAAACACAGGTAGATGTGTGTAAGTTTTAAGGAAAACATTGCTGATAAAATACATCCTTCAGCTGAAACATAGCACACACGCTGTGGAAAGAGTATCTGAAGAAATAGAACGACATCTAGCTAAGTAGCACATATTTTCTGTCTATTAGTATTCACTTGAGCACTTACTGAAATTTAGTGTTCTTTTACATTTAAACTAGAAAGCCACACAGATCCAATGTATTCTTTATGTAATATAAATGTATGCAGATGAGGGCTGCAAGTGGTGTAATCATTTTTGTTCCCTCTTCATTCTCCAACCTTTTTTCTGTGTTTATTTTCTAGTAGACAGTCTTGAAAGCAGCTGTTACAGTGCACATTTTGTTTTCTCAGTGCTAATCCGTTTTACCCTTGAGGTCTTTTTTATCACATGCAGATCTCTTATGCTACATTAAGATAAGAGAATATAGTTTTTATTCCTTAAGTATGTTGTCAAGGAAACTTGCTGCCAGCCCTATTTATATATTGCAAGATGCTTTAGCCACTGAGTGTGAAGGAACTAGTAATTCAGGGACATTCTGATTTTCTATATGTGATTAGCTTTGCTAAAAACCAGCAGAAGCGCTTGATTGGGCAAATATCCAAACACTCCAAAGTAAAATTGCAGTTGTTTTCCGTGGATTGTTAAAGGGTACTGAGCAACTGTAATTACCTGCTTGTCTTCAGCTGTAGAGAGAAAAAGGCTGCAGTCTATGCGTCTGTCCTACCAGGTGCGAATTCTTTGGCCTTCATCTAGAAAAAGGTGTACATGTGAGTTTGTGGTGGTGATGGGAGTGAGCCTAACGATGGTAAAGGCTTTGCTGGGCTGGAGCTAGAGTGCTTCACACCTTGAAAGACATAACCTTGGAGGAATTGAAGATTGGGGGGGAAAAAAAAAAACACCATATTTTGAATCAGCAGAAATTCATAGGCTGGGTTTTGCTAATTGTTGACGGTAGAACGAGTTGCACTGTACACATTCCAGACACCAATGAAAAATGAAAAGCTCCCTATGTAGTTTGACTGGTCAGAGCCTGATTTATAGCCCCCTATGACAGGGTTATTTCTTATTCTGTCCTGATAAGCAATTTCTGATTTATTCGATATGTCATATGTCTCTGCTGTGAAAATGGTCCAGCAAGAATACTGGTATGCAAAAATCCTGTTGTGGTCCATTGTGTCAGCACCTGTAGCAAGTACATACATTGTGCAGGCTTGGCTGGCCCTGCACAGTGCCTTATAGGCTGCTCCTTGCTCTGAAGGGCCAGCAGGTGGTTTTGGGGGTCCAGAAGCAGTTCCATCCTGTCTCACCTCCCACTGTGCCTCCTAATGGTGGTATCAGTGGATTATATTATGCAAATCTTTTAAACTGCCAAGCATTTCTCTATCTTATCCAGCATTTTTAGTGAGAACCTTTCCATTTATGTCAGTAGGCTTCATATCCAGCCTGCCTCAGATTGTTGGCTTTCTTAGGAATCGCAGTCACTGCGTTGCTGAAGTTAGACCAATAATACTGGTAGGCAGGGAAGGCTGCCATGCTTGGCAGTCACATGCAGGGTGTCGCATCTTAAGCATGTGAGGACAAAGCTGCCATACTTTCCTGGGCTCATAGTTAAAGAGACAGTTGAGGAAGGTCTGAAAACATGCATTATTTATTGTGTATAAAAAGCTGAGTCCTCCTCAGCTTCTGCTCTTCTGAAACAGCTGCTTGCTGCCGTGTGAAAAAAAAATTGCTTTCAAAGCCTGTCCCAACACCTGCGAGCAGTCAGCTGTGACACTGAGAGGTAGGGCTGAGTGAGGCCTTCAGAACACTGGCAGTGGGGCATATTTTTGCCTTCGTCAAATAGCAGGAAGCCTTGTAAGCAGTTTTGGTAAGAGCAGAACTCTGAATCCCTCGGAGTTCACGCAACACCTGTGGCTGATCTCAGTGAGAACTGGGCTGGGGCCTGGGTCCAAAGGCAGTGTTTCTGCTGGACACCTTCATGTTTTTTAAATAGATGTTTCTTCCACCACTCTTCCTTTGGAAAGTCACTGATAGTTTAAAGCCAGAATCAGGTATTTTCTTTAATCCTTTTTGAGCTTGATTCATTGGCTTATGTGTGAATTTTGCCTTCTTGAGAAAAAATGTTTTGCTTTCTTTTAGAGAAACTTCTAATATTAATTCGTAAAAAATCCTTAAGTTTTGCATGCCGATAGTCTGGGAGCATATGGATCTTTAATACAGTTCACAAGATGACTGTTTTCATATTTATAATGTAAATTAGGAGAACTTCAAAGGAGGTGTTACTGCTTTTTATTTCAATAACAACTTTTATTTTCTAAACTTACCAAGAAAGTATTTACACAACAGGGGCCTGCAACTTCCCAGGAGTTCCTGGGACCTAATAGGGTAATGTTATGATGCTTTCCAGTTTCTCCAGGGTTTCTCCCTGTTTGAAATGCCTGTAGGTTTCTGTAATGAGCCTTTGCATTGAAAACAAGCTGTTGGTGTAGTATTCTTGTACTGGCTAATCTCAAAGGACTTTATGGAGCTGGCCAGCATAAAGCAATCCTACCCCCAAAACAAGGTGGGTGGAAGGGAATTTAGGGAAAAGCTTAGCACAGACATGATCTAAGATGACAGAATCCTGCAGATGCTTTATGTACACGCATGAATTATGTGGCCTGAGAGCTCCATCCTTTGCTGAGATGCTGGATGCACAAAGCCCTTTGTGCTGGGTGTTGGCAACAGGCCTCCTCCAGATCTCATGCTGCTGAAGCCATTGGTCCTATCTCCTCCACACCAGTAGCAGTGATGCACACTGGTTTATTCCTCTTTCTGGCTTCAACCCTGGGGGCTGCTGGATTTAGGTGCCAGCCTAAATTTCAGATACAGGTGCTTAACAGAGAGTGGGCTGACCATCCACACTCCCCAGCAGCCTGGCTGCATTTAGCTGTAATGGGATAACCATTCTTCATTTGTGCATTTTTGATTGCAGGGCATGATGCTCTCAGTGGTTCGTTCCTCTTAGGCTAATAATATCTGTGGGTTGTCTTTTCTGCATCAGGGAGCAGAAAGGAAAATCCGAGATGAAGAAAGGAAGCAGAATAGGAAGAAAGGCAAGGGCCAAGCATCCCAAGCCTCCTGTAATAACTGTGAGTAAGATGGGCCTCTCTGTTTTGGGCTAAGTCATGCTTCGCATGCCCTCTCTCATAGCTGCATTACTTTGTGATCCTCCCAGCAGCTGAAGGAAAGCTGAGTGCGCTCCCTCTGCAAAAAAAGAGTGATATAACTTTCTTCAAAACAATGACTGACCTGGATTCCCAGCCAGTTCTCTTCATACCAGACGTTCACTTTGGAAACCTACAAAGAACTGGACAGGTAGGAAATAATAATGGGACGAGCAGGTGCCCACCTGCCATCCGACTGCATGTGCTCTGAGGCAGACTGTATAAATACAAAGCACTGTTATTGGTGGTTGCTTGTTTCAGCTCTTGGTTTTGGTAAATGCAGCTCTTGGTGAATAATTTAGCTTGCAGGAGACAAATGCTTTTCTTAGTTCTGGGTGCCCAAAAATAAATGTATACTTCATTAATAACAGACTATTCTATGTTTGTTATGATTTTGACATTCTTTTGCTAGTAAGGAATGGAAGAAGTCAAGAATTTTGGACTAGTAGTATGAGTGACTAGAAGTCTTTTTTGAAGGTTTGATTTGTCTTGATGAGATGAAGTGCCACCTGGTGGCAGAAGAGATCTCCCTGTCTGGAAAGACTGAAAACAAAGACTAAACTCATTGTACAAGGGTAGGCTTATGAAACACGACCGCCCATTCTCTGTAGGCATCACCTGGAGATGTGGCAATTCTTTAGAAGGAAGTATACAGTATAGTATGGGAAGTAAAATTCCATCATACTGATGCATAATGAAACATATTTAGTTTCGGCTTAGTGCTGAAGTCATGGAATCATTATCACCAGTAAGTATGAGGAAGTCTCCTGACCTGACTTTTTAAGACCTACTTTATTACTTGGTGGGAAATTGCAAACCTGAATTTTCGGGTCAGCTCTGACAGTTTTTTCAAATATGAGCTTGTTATTTATTAGCTTCTCAGGAAGTGGAATGAGACATTTCTATATGTGTTTATAAAGATAAATAGTAGATGATGAAACTTTACAGACACCTCACAGCAAGACATTAAAATAATGAAGGTTAAATGATACTGAGTTTGAATTGCTATTTGTTGTAAAGCTGAGAGGATTGCGGTAGAGCGGAGCACAAAGAGTGCAGACGTTGCAATCACAGCTGTCACTGACTCGCCCTCCCAAATTGGAAAGACGCCCACTCACATATCAGTGCTGGTACCTTCTGTCCTCATGGCTTTCAAAACAGAGTGTGGATTTGTCTCATAACAGAAGAAGGTGGAAGCGTTCTTCAGTGTATGTAATCCTGTAAATAATTTTCCAAATAACTGGAAGATGCTTTAGGCAATGTTCAGCCCTGTCTTCTGCTCTATAAGTTGTAATATCAGTGTTCTTACTAGCCTGAACTTTTAAAATTGTATTGCATGCTGGTTAATATTAGAACAGTTTATTGTGACAGTGTTTTGTAGCTCCTGGACTTAAAATGCATTTCAGATACTGTAGAGTTCAGCTTTGCACACACCTCTGAGTGTTAATCTGTACAAATTGTACAGGCTCAGAAGTCAAACCTTCAAGTGACAGCCAAATGTGTGCTGCATCTCATCAGGGCTCCAATGCCCTGCCTTCACCCCACACTGGCTCAGTAGTTCAGCAGCTGAAATACGGGTGTTCTTCTTGGTACAGACCCACACTGCAGGCATTATATGAGGAATTTGGCTGACTGTTGTGTAAAGCCTTCTGTCATGGGCTGTGATTTTATACCTCTGCTGCTCCTGTTGGCCATATTTGTTGCTGTTGTAAATCTGGTCCCACTGATTTACACAAAACTGTGATCTGGACTTGTTCTCCTGCCCACAGCCTGTGCAAAAAGATCATCTGTACCATTAGCAATTGCATTTCCATTTGGGCTCTGGTTTAATATTGGTCCTGATTGTTTAATTAGGTTTTCAGACAATATTAAATACGTATAAAAAGCTTTTGAGTGTTGTGGCTTAAATCATATTAAGGATAATTTGGGTGATTAGTGATCTGATTTAGAAAATTGTAAAATAAATGGAAAAATTATGTAAACCAGAGGAGAGGACAAAGTCTGTCAAAATACTCAGATATATTTCAAATAGATGATATTCAACAGCTATTTTTCAAAGCTGCACTTTATCCTGACCAAAATTAGAACTGGAGATGTGTGTGTTTCATAGAAGATGGATTTTTAACAGATTAACAACCTGCAAACCACTTGTCTTTTCTCCCATTCAAAGTTACTTTGTTAGGCATGTGTCAGTTTTTGGAATAATTCTTTTTCTCTCCTTCTAGGTTTACTATAATACAGATGATGAGAGAGAAGGGTAAGACATTTACTGTTTCATCGGCTTTGCAGTTGGCAGTACAAATTCGCAGAAAGCAGGCATAAAAATATGAACTAATACTGATCCCACTCTCCCCCTTTCCTCATGTTCTCTCATCACCAATGATAGGTGAATACTTTGTGTAGAAATAGTAGAGAGAAGGTTTAATGTATAGCAGCTTAATTTCCCTTTATGTGAACTGTCTTCTTTTCATACCTATTTTTTCTTACATTTCTGTGTAAAACAATTTGAAGAGCTGTAAGGTTCAACACAAGGTTAGGGCAATATATTTGATAATAAAGAGTCTTTTATGTAATGGTCTTCAAATAATCATAAAACCATGAATTGTTTAATGAAGCACTAAAATTCACTCACATTCCTGGAAGCTGTTTAACAGCACTTGTGTATGTGACAAATAGAGCAAATGCAGAGCAAACGCCCCAATATCAGAAGAGAAAGGAAATAGAATGGGAGATCCTGGGAAGGGAGAAGATTGGAAATGGGAGGGCTCACTGTCTGGCTTTAGAGGAACTGGAAGAATTACAGAAAGTCTCTAAAATAGAGAGTCACAAAACAAGGACTTGAACATGTGTGGCTGGAGTTCAGCCAGTATTAACTATGAGGCATGCATCCCTCACGCCTTTCTAAGCTGGTTGAATCTCAAGGGAGCAAACTCCAATCAGAGAGTTTGGAGACAGACAGCTGAACTCACCAGTGGTCACAAAAGGTGGACTGTGGTTGGTGGTGGCTGAGCACCAACAGCTAACATTGACTTCAAAACATGAGGCCCTTTCTGTTCCTTCTGTGAAGCTGATGTTCTTCATAAGACTCACAGTGGAATTTGAGCAACAAAGGGTGTTATTGCACTAACCATGTAAGCCTTAGCTCTCTCATGGCCATCATGCTATAAGCCCTCAGCTCCCTGGCAGGGCCTGTCACAGCTGTGGGCTGGATCTGGCTCCAGGTGTTACTCCTTTTGAAACTCACTGTGCTGTGCGGCCTTGGACTTTAGAAATGCTTTTGGTATTTTCTAAGGTTCTCTCCAAAAAGAGAATGCAAAGTGCATTTCTCCCAAAAGAGATGAATGCATATACAAATGTGAATTCACTTCTTTACTCAGTTGCTTCTTCCTCACCCACTCTTCCAGTGCCTAAATATGTATTTAAACAGTTAAGAGTCTTGAGTGTTTTCTAAATAATATGTCACACTGAATATATTATTTCCTGTCACCTGTCCCAGTCAGTCAGTCTAGGCAATTTGAGAAGCTTGGAGAGTTCAGATATGCATGAAAAGCTAAATCCATGCAATTTCTGGTCTGTTACTTGAGTAGGTAGCAGGGCTTTTGCCAGAGTACCTTTGTACTTTGAGTGTAACTGCTGCTGTTGTCTCTTTCCTGTTGGTGGGAGCACAGTTTTCCATGACATGGCCGCTGTTGTGTGTTTTCTAGTAGCAGTGTCCTGGTCAAGAGGATGTTCCGACCTGTGGAGGAGGATTTTGGTCCATCCCCTTTGAAACAAATGAAAGAAGAAGGCCTGAAAAGAGGTAATTATCAATTCTTAGTGGTTAAAACTACTGTTCTGGGAGTCCTACTCTCAGACAATGAAAGGTGCGTCTGCCTTAGACAAAGACAGTTGTTTGATGCTAATACAAACATAGTACAGATGGGAGAAGATATCATCACACCTGCCCAGTATACAAGGTGGCACTTCAGCAATTGCTAATAATGATGTAAAAGCAGAAAAAGACAACCATGCACAATCTCGAGAAGGGATCAGGACAAAAGTGTAGAAGATGCAAAAAAATTAGAAGGTTTCTTGGCCCTTGGCCAAACTACATAGTTCAGAAATGTTCCAGTAGCGAGTCTGTGTTTGTTTATTTTTAACTTCTGCTCATCTTTTCTGTTCTGGCTGGGATCACAAGCAATATGCAAGATGCACTGGGTCAGATACAGAGACATTACACAGGCAAGCTTGTACTGTCTGCAGAGTGAGATTAGCCTGAATGAAATCTCAGAACTTTTCTACCCAATTCGAAATGTAAGGCATGGAGAGACATCCTCCAGTTGACATAGCTAAGTTATTTAAAAGTTTGTTTCCCTTAACTGTTCTTCGCTGCATTGAGAAAATACTACCACAGTTGTGTTCATTTCATGTGCTCTATCAGTCTAACCCATTTTCAAGTTCATACCAGTGCAAGTTAGCTTGAATAACATTGAAACAGTGGTTTAGATAGAGCTGTCAACTTTGCGAGAAGATAAGGATGAATGTAAGGTGGTTTTGTCCACAAGATATGCTTTGTGAACTGTATTTTACAACACAAAGTTATATGTGATAATGCCTTGCTCTGCTGTAGTTAGGCACTCTGAAGAATATTTGCCATTCCTTCAATCTCATCAGTTCTGTCATGTAAGGTTATTGGAGAATCTTGGGGTTTGACCAACCCATGTAGATCAAGCTCATTCATTTTTTGAGGTTCACCTATCAGTTTGTGAGACAACAGGGCAACAAGGTATAGAAGTGAGCTCGGTTGTTCTCAGCTACACCATTTGTAAGACTCAACTTCCCATAATCCTGTATTTGCAAATTTTTTCTGTTGGTGAGGTAGTATGCTTGCACCAAGGGAAGCATACAAGATTACAGGACAGAGAGTAGTGTCTTCCTAGAATGAATGTAAGCATATTCTTCCTTTAATTAATCCTTTCAATGAATAATATGAGATCAGCACTCACCACAGGCTTGCATCTGGTTGATTCAAGGCCTTGATGAAACTCACATTATCATTCTGGGCTACATCAAGCAGAAGGGGACAACCACAAGGATTGCATTAAGAACTGTCTTTTACTGCAGTTTCACCTGGGTTTCCCAGCTGGAAGCCTGGAGAGGTGCCTGCAGGGAGATATTGCTTTGCTTTGAATATTCCTGTCCTTTGCTGTGGTAAGTTGTTTTAATATTGTCCAGGAATTGCAACTATTTCAATGGGAAGATGCAAAAGAAAAAAATGTTTTTCAGCTGACGACAAAACTATGCTAAATAATTAAATCCAGGAGAGGCATGGAGTTAGAGAAGCTGGAGGATGCTCTCTTCACATCCCCTTCCTGTTCAGTATTTGTTGCAACTTGGTCGATGCTGGCGGGAGGCCAAACCTCCTCCAGCATGGCCTTTGCTCTGGTGAGCTTCCTGCCATCAGGAACCCTACATCTGGGATTGTACTGATGGAGAGCTCCAGCTGAGTCTGCCCACTTATCAATACTGTCTTTGCCACAGGAGTCTCTGGGCATTACTCTTCCATTTGTTTTCCCCAGTTCAGCATTTCTAGAAGCTTGGGCCCAGTGAGGGGTTCAAGTGCAAATGAAGAGTTAGAGTGACAGTGTGTTGTTTCCCCTCTGCCTCTTGGAGCTAAGTACCAAGGGACAGCCCTCAAGAGAATAGGGTTATGAAGGGGGTTACAAACCATCAGTGAGACAAGTTTCATATTCTCACACAGATAGCTGCATCTGTTTGAATGTATCTTTGATGTCCTTGGTCTCTGTGGAAAGTACAAGTGCCCAACACAGAAATGTAGAGGATGTTAATGTGCACTATGTGCAGATTTCAATGGAAGTTTCCCATTATAAATCCAGCAGCCCTGTTACAAATCAGGTTGGTTTCCAATCTCATCATTCTCAGCCTGTCATATTTTTTTTCTCTCTGTTGTGTTAAACACTTAAACCATTTTGGGTTCAAAAAAGATAAGGTTTGGTGTACCATCCCTATGAATACATTCTCTAACTCTTTTAGCTGAAGAACTGGTATCTGGGCGATCAATGAAAACTCCAAGAGTAGAAAAGGAAAGCCTGGTGACAGCTACCAGCCCTACTTTCCTTGTTTAAAATGTGCCACATCTCCATGCAGGGATGTGTTGACAAAGTGCCCTGGTTGCTCAGTGTGAGGCTGGGCATTGGTGACACCTGTGCTCAGCTTGCCAGTCTGAGTAGAGGACTTCCTCTCTCATCACGTTTTTAGTTTCCTTTTTGCCATGTCTGCTGTTGGTTTTCCACCTTGGCAGATTTGCCAATTGAGATCCAAGCTGTTGACACTTTCAGAAGAGCTGTCTGACATAGTTCTTTCACATTCATGTTTAAAACCCCTGTTGAGTGGCCTGACTTCCAGAAATCTCCCAGATACAACAGCCTGCCTTGCATTCAACAAAAGCTGCTTACTGGTGTGTTTTTGTGAATCAGTGCTATTTTTTAAGTACCTGAAGATAAATTTGTCACTTCTGCCTTTTGCAACTCCTTTTAACATCTAAAGAGCATTAGGGAGTATTGTGGGCTGCAGCTTTGACAAGAACACTGAAAGCCAAGTCCAGGTAGTGCAGAGATTAGGAAAATCTGAATTTGTCTTACTCTGTCAAAAATAACTCACTGCCTGATGCAAGATATTTTTTCCCCCAAATATTGCAGTCTCTGCTTTTGAAGTGAGATTGTCAAGGTGGCGTGGAGGTGGTGACAATAGGTGCACAGGCTGCTAGTGCTGGTTGAGTCACATCATCACACAAAGGTTTGCCGGGCTGCTTTGGCAACTGGAGCAGAGGGCAGTCTGAAGAACAGCTCACAGAACTGGGCTATTTTTTCACATGCATCTGCTCTTTTTGTTCGCAGTGCAGGAGGATTCACAGGGGCCAGAATAATGGAGCACAAGAGCAGAGAGGAGGCAGGATCTTAAGGCACTGATGCTGCCAGGAGTCATTTATGGAAAAGCGTGCTAGTGAATCAAAACTGGGCTTTTCACACCTGTTATTGGGAAAGAAAACCAACACCCCTCCCTTCCAATATGTTTACTAATCCTGGCTCTCTGTGTGTGTAATAGTGATTCAAGTCTCCTGCTATCCTTGTAATGGATCCTTCATTCAGTATAACATTCCCTGAGATGCCAAACACAACAGAGCAATTTAAAGCTGAGTGCTTGGTTTGTACCGTGACCCCATCTTTAGCCTCAGACTGAGGGATTTTTCCTCTTTTCAGACACGTTTTTAGTTACTAAGGTTGGCAGATGGTTCAGATGTTTGAAACTCTAGTTGCAAGAAAAGTATTACTGAAACAGTAAATATGTCAGTACAAATAAAAATAACATTTGAAAAGAGTGCTTGCTCATGCAAGTAAGAATATCAAAACCAATCAAGTTTTAACTACTGCTGTGAAAATTTTTGTTCCTTTATATTCTGACCATTGTTTAATTTGTGAGCCAAAGTTATCTCAGCTTCTTTGGCACCAAAAAGGACTCTTTCAAATGCCAAATGCAGGTAAAAAGACTGCTACAACAGGTATGCAGAGCCAATTTGAGGCTAATACTTTTAAATTGAAGATGCAAAAATTGCCATTATTTCTGACACCTGGTTTTGTAGACCAAGACAGGAAACTGATCTGGGCAGCCATGTTTTAAGCCTTATTCCAATCATTTGAAAACATGGGCAAAAAAGCTACAATTTGCTGCAAATATGCCTGAATTCATGCTGGTACAGTCTTCAGTTGTGTTTATTTCTATTTATTTTATACACATCTGCTTTGCTTTTGCCAGATAACCAGCAAGTCTCTCTGTCAGTGATTAGCATTTATTTTCCTTCTTATTGCTTCTTGTCTGTGAGGATTGGCTACAGGTCACCTTTTTGTACCTGTTTAGTTTGCTTTTGCCATGTAGTTTTGCCTTTTTTTTTTTTTTTAATGTCTTTCCCAGTCTTTTGGATGAAGTTTGGAGAAGATGCAAGCCAAGAAAAGGAAGTCCTTGCTTGCATGTTTTGTCACAGGACAAAACATTTTTTGTTGGGGTTTCTTTTCTCTGCGTACATGGAGGTTTAAATTCCTGAATGCCTAGATTTCCCACATTGAACTAAATTCATTGCATTTCCCTTGTGTGTTTTCAGAGCAGCCATGGTGTGTTTTCCGTGTTTGGATCACTGTTGATAGGGAATTCCTCTTTTTTTTTTTAGAGCAAACCATTTTCAGCATTTCATTTTTCTACTCAATGTGAGGTGTTTCATCTGTTTAGTTGGCTGGACTTGCTCCAAGTTTGACTTTTTTCTGTTTCAGTGCTTTTATATGTGAGGAAGGAGACAGATGAGGTGTTTGATGCCTTGATGCTGAAATCACCCACAGTGAAGGGGCTAATGGAAGCGGTAAGTATCCAATGTCCTTACTTTATCTTTCTTAGTAAGAAAATTTTGAGACTCTCAGTGTGTTGCTGAGATAAAATAAAATAGAGAGATGAAGCTATTCTCAGATATATTAAAAGCTTAAGGGCTTTTCGGAGCACATCTCTGAAATGTTGACATGTTCTAAACTGAATGCTGTCAGCAAGTTACTGAGATAAAATAGACTCACAGAACTGGTTTATTGGAGAGCCAACCCTTGAGGAATGGCAGTAATTAAGCAATGGCAAGAAAGCGGGGAAATAAAGGCTTCGTTTTCTGAAACACTTCTTATTGAACTGCTGATTCAGAACCTGTTGAATGTTCTGCAGTGCTCATTGGTGCATTCAGAGCCATCTTTTAAAGAAGAGGACCAAAGATGCACTGTTTCCATGTGAATTTCATCTGGCTTTTGTGCAGTGCTGTCTCAGCACACAAGGGACAGGTCATGAGCCAATGCAGGCAGGTCATTCATACTCCTGTCTCACATGCCTTATCCAGCCCTAGCTCCCACTGTGACCTGCTCAAGCCTGTCTCTTTGTCAAGATGCATCTTTCTCTTGAGTTTTTCTTTGTTACATGTCATCTGTGGTTGTGAGTGGATATTTTTATAGTTAATACTGTTTATATGAGCTGATGGCTAGTGTCTGTGTGGAATTTGGTGGGGGAAGGATGAAGAAGCAATTGTGTGTCTCATTGCTTAGGTGGGGAACTAATATGAGACTGACCTGTAGAGAGAAACTGCTTGGCCTGAGAAGATGGGAATGGAGGAAAATGCCTCTAGAGAGCTCAGCTGAGTGCTATAAGTATATATATTCGTGCTTGCATAAAATCATCAGTGTCTTGTAGCACGTATCAAATACAGTGCAGTAAGGATTGAGTTACTTGGCCAGAAGTACAAGACAAAAAGATCTTGTGGATTTTGGGATTGTCTCAAGCACCTACTCAGATCAGGGTATCTCCGAGGTGAGTCAGCTGCGTTACAGAAATGGCCTAATGTTTCTTTTGCTAAAGCTGTACCTGTGCAGAATGCACATGTATAATAATAGGAAGGCTTCACTTGAAGGGGCTGCAATCTGATTCATGGTAAAACTGGAACATGATGTTATCTTGTCTTTATATGAAAGTTAAGAGAAAGTTTTAATTCTTCCATAACACTTCATGCTAACGTTAACATTTTATCTTCGGTATTCTGTGCCTCTTAATGCCTGTATCCAGCTACTCTGTAACATAAAAATAAAGCTGGTCCAGAAACAGGAAAGGTTTCTGTATACTTCTGTCAGCACAGCTGCTAACTCAGTGGCATGTTTTCGGCACCAGAGAAATCTAATCTGTTGTAAAATGTCCCAGATCACTGGAAGGAATACATTCATAAAATTTTAATTCTCTTTGGTAGGATATAGTAGATAAGTGAATGCCAAAAAGCTGTCAAATTATATACTCCTAACTACTTTCTCTGCAATCTTTTCAGCAAATAATGCAATTTTGTAATTGTGCACATCCTAAATACTCAATTCTAAGTTCAGTGCAAGGATTCAAGAAACTGAAGATCTGGTGACTGACCAGATCCAAATCCTGCTTTCAGACTCATCCAAATTCCATCCAAAGTGGTTAACTCTTTGGATCTAGTAGGTGCTGCAGTCTAACATGACAGAGGATGATCTAAACTGGGAAATTCAAGCATCTTCCAATGTCTTTCTAAAATTAAAACCAGCTGAGTTCAACAGAGCTTGCTAGACCGCAGTTTATTGTACATGTCTATATGTATGTGTTCTTCCAACCTATTTAGGGCAACAGAGGAATCCATAGGAATAAATTGGCAGAGATATTTTCCTGCATTCCTTTACCAGCCCAGGTCATTTTTGTGTCTTTTGTGTCATCCTGACTTGAGCAGAAAAAGCATTTCTGGTGGCTTCTGCAATCAGATGTGTGCTACAGACAGAGTTGCCCTGCCAGGGGGCTGCAGCCCAAAGGGATAACCAGCCTGTCATTTCAGTACCACTCTGAAGGATGTCCCACAGCTTCAGGCATCCTAAGGGAAGCAGGGCATTCTCTGCTCAGAATATTTCACAATAGAGATTATAAGGGAAAATACTCCAAATAAAGATATATTTTATTTCTGTATTGTAGCATGCTTGTGATCAGACACAAAATCCTGTTTTATATGGAGGTTGGCAGTAGTGTTTTTCCCCCTGAGTTGGCAACAAACCTGTTTCAGAAAAAGGTGTTAAGTGAGATGCCCTAGCAGATGCTAGCTCTCTGCTTTCTCAGATTCTGCAGCAGGACTTAGCACATTTGTACTGGAGACTTGCTTTCTGAGCCTCTGAGTGGGAGGCTTTCCCATTCTCCTGCTTCAAGCCGTGCTTCCACAGCTCACCATTTAGTATAATTGGTTGAATCCTTAGGGGTTCCTGAGAAATGTGCTTAGTCAGTTGGCTGGAAGTCTTTCCCAAAGCTCACTAATCCCTTCATATCATATAAATCCCACACCTGTCACAGGCAGTGTGACAAGCAAGACTTTCTTGGCCCCACCACTCATAGCTTGTGTAGGAAGTGGTGTCCCAGGGTCCCAAACCACTTTGAGCAACATTTGATATGCAAGAGTGTTAGGCATCGCAAGTATCCTAGGAAAGTTTGATGCTGGAACGTGCAGAATGCTGTATATTAACTGCTGGTAAGCCTCTTTGAGAAAAGAATGTTTGTATCAAGTCTTCAGCGTTGGTCTTTACAATATCCTTAAGCTTCAGGGTTAAGGTGCCAAAGAAGATACAGCATTTCCTCATATTCACACAGGAGTTGTGACATTTTCACGTATCTCCAGCACAGTATCCAAGAGGGCAGTGAAACATGTTGGCACAAGTAAAAGTGAGGTATGGAGTGAGTGGGTCTGGTGAACCCTACCAGATACTCCTTAAATACATCATCCCCTGTTAGCCACAGATAGAAACTGCAAGCAGAGGAAACTGTTGGCGGTGTCAAAGTTTCATTGGCTTGTCATATCTGGGAGTTATGCTGTACTTCCTAAATAGAAAATTCTGTGTTAGGCAAGATGGCAGTTATACAAGTATAGGTGATGTAGGCAGGTACAGGCTAATTAATTTTGTAGCTGTCTGGATGAGAGCCGTGTTTGAGATTTAACCTGAGAATATTTGAGTCTGTCCCTGATGCTGAGTTTTATCCATTGCTTGCTTTTCATTTTCTGTTTCATAATTGCTTTCATTTACTTTTCTAAAATATGACTTTTCTCAATGGCAATCTGAGCACAAACACAAGGAAAGGATTTCACAGTGATTGATGTTTGACAGGTTTTAGTGGATTTTTAATTGTGCATTTCAGTTCTCTGATGCAGAAGAAAAGAGTCAGCTATTTAGCTGCAACCTCATTTAACCTGGGAAGAGCAAGAAGCTTACTTTTGTTGGCAGTAGCATACCACAGTTCATTAATCACTGACTAAAAGGTCCTTTTTCCATAATTATTCTTCCTCTTGGGACAATCCTATTCTAAAGTGTGAGTGGTGAGACCCATTCTCTCAAAGAAAAGTCATAATTTAGAAAGGAAGCTCTCAGTTCTCAGGAACATCAGCTCCAGGAATGCACCATAGGTTTGTTTTAGAGTGAGCCAACACACTGATGCAAACTAAGGCCAAAACGTTGCAGTGAAGGATGCTTGCTGATGCTGGCAATTTATTGGCTATATTCTTCACTCAAAGTTTTGCTATATTGTTTACTTTATCATGTGAGTGGATGTAAAGGAGTTGATTTTAAAAGTCCCTTACCATGTTAACAGACTTCTCTGAGGCATCTCGTTATGAGCACATTCAGGTGATGCTCTGTGATACAGCATTCTCGTTTTGCAACCCTAGTAATTGAGCCACCTCCCCAGCAATATGGTTTGTGCAGTACCATGGCCTCCCACCAGAAAAGGGACCCAGAAGATACTTTTCAGGCCAAAGGAGTGCCACAAAGGGTCCTGTTAGCTTAACAGATATTGAAATGCCATTGAGAAATAGTAGGTGTCCTGTTGTGTTGCTGCTCACCTGTCTTCTGCCTTGGATGAGGAGTATTTGCTTCCATGAGTCCAGAAAATCAGAGTAAGGAAAGGCAGAAAGATTGCTGATGGGATTGAAATTCCTGGGTAGCATCTGAACCTGGGGAGTGTGTTAATTCTCAAGCAGATCAGTAGAAAATGCTGAGGCAATGATTGATTTATCATTGTGAAATTATCTGTGAAAACTGTAGTCTCCAAGTTTCTGGGTAGAAAAGTCAGTATTTTTAATGAAGATTTTTAGGATTATTTCTCCCTGAATCATCCTTAAATAAAGATATAATGTCGTCGTAACTTTTCTCTTGAGACTTTTCTTCATAGTTATCCTGTCAAAGTTTGCAGAGACAGTGTTTAAATTGCCTTATGTAAAGCGAAGAGGTGAGGTGCTATTCCTCATTAGTCTTTATTTCCTTTGTTTTGATGATTTCAGATCTCTGAGAAATATGGATTGCCAGTGGAAAAGATTGCAAAACTTTATAAGAAGAGCAAAAAGGGGTAAGTAAGCCATAAGTAAACTAACTGTGGCAGTCAGGGATCCCAACTATGCCTGGGGCATCATTATACTAGACAGTACAAACACTTCTAGGAGACCTGCCCACAACCCTAAAATCTTACTGTCTATGGAAAAAGCAAACGGTGGCAAAAGAAGAAACATCCAGCCTCTCTCTGACTGGCATTCATAGGCTTACTGTGAAGGAGCAGTATTTATGTTGGGAAAATGTATTTGCGTAAAGCCTGTTTTACAGGCTATATACTTAATAACATTGTGGAGAGTGCTATGGGAAAGGCACAGCCTTTGCTGTGAATGCAGCATGGAGTTTCCCTGCAGCATTAAGAAGAAATGGGCCGCTGCCTGAATCTGAAAGGCAGGCAAGCACAAGGGAGAGCGCTGTTTGCTGCAGGGTTTCAACTGAGTAAATTTAGACATGAGCATCACAGCTGTGGTTTTATAATAGCTAGGCTACTACGCTTTATCATAAATCTGAATCTCTCTATTTTAACTTTTTGTTACTGCTAAATAACATCAATATTCTAGCAACATCATTTTAAGTCACTCATTTATTTTTGGCTCTAACTGTAACTTAGGGCAGTGTTTTGTCTGATGATTTATTTTGCTTTTGAAAATACAGGTGAGACTTGTCATGTTTTGCTTCTTTCTTACACTGTTTCCAAGAGATGTGTTTGTTGGAAGAAATCCTTTATGGTAAAGAGTGAGGATGACACTCCTATACACCTGTACTAGTACTCTTGCACCCGAGCTGAGTTCTGTGAGCTGTGTGCACAGCACCAATTACACTGCTTTCCCATGTCAGTGACTCACATCATGGAGGAGGAGCAGCTTTTTTGTGGCATGGCTGGGGAGTAGAAAGAGAGATGCACTTGGGGGATCTGGCACTGCACATAGGAAATGCTGGCAGAGTCTGCACCAAATCTGGTGTGCATCTGCAGGCAATTCCAGAAGTGGGTAAAGTCGTAAAGTCCCAGCCCTGACACATATCTAACTACTTTCACAAGTTGCAACCTATAATCCAGAGGCTAGAAGGGACTATGGGGCAGACCTTGATGATAATTTCCCATCTTGTTCCTGTACTGGCACGTGCTGGAGTCTCTTATTGTTTCATGTTGAAGTCAGTGGAGTGTGTGCATGCAGTGGAGTGCATGGCTTTCCCTTTTGCTGTTCTGGTATGTGAAAATACTGATTTTTGCCTTTGTCACCAGTATCCTGGTAAACATGGATGACAACATTATTGAGCACTACTCCAATGAGGACACATTCATCCTGCACATGGAAAGCGTGGTTGAAGGCTTCAAGATCACACTGACTGAGATCTAGCCTCAGACCAGAGCCCTTTCGTAAAGAACCCACAGCATTTCATTCTTCTTGGAAAGCAGAAGATGCCTATGGAAGTTGACAGACATTGATCAGAGAAACTGTTACAAGACTGCTTTGAAAATACTGTCCGTTCTGCACATGCACACCTACTGCATACAGGCTTGGGTTCGTCAAGCACAAGGCCACTCATGTTAACCTGGTCCCTTATTTATTGCTCCCCACTCTCCATTGTACAAGCAGTTACCAGCCCCCAGATTTGTAATCAGATGACCCACTGCAAATGCGAAATGCAGCATTTTAGTCCATGCTTTAGTGTGGATAAGCTCATTCTAAAATATAGTGAGGAACTTTGCTGGTCCAGTTTCAGAAATCTTATGTAAATCTCTTTGCCAGTAGTTCTCTCCTCTCGCTAAAACCAGTGCTAAAGGTGGGGAAAGTGGCTGACAGAGTTCACTTGCTCAGACCAATCCATATCTCTCTCTGGTGTATAGTCTTGCCAAATACCTCTGGTAGTTCTCAGCATGTAGCAATGAGGACTTGTAAGTAAGGCATTCAGCTACAAATGTCACTTGTAAGTAAATGGTAAAGAAACCATTTTAACCTTGTATATAATGTTTATAATATGCAATAATATATTTTAACTACTGTATGTGGGCACGTTTATTGCCACTATGTTTTTGTATGTACTGGGCTTAGGGTTTAACAGAATATTTCCTAGAAGATTAGATTTCTGCAATCTGTTAAGGAGTGTGTACTGAGAATCTGAGTCTGCATTTGTGCACTCCATCCCTGCCCACCCAGTTTTATACTGAAATATTGGAGCAAACAGTGCTACAGCATTTGGAGTGCACTGTCACTGTGGGACCCACCTTTGGTGCCCAGGTCTCAAACATAGACACCTGAGTACTCCGTCCAGCTTTCACCAAATCATAGAAGCACCCCTGTGTCTGGTGTGCCTAGAGGCCTGTTCTCTTAGTGAAGCGAGGGCTCTCAAAATGAGCCTGTCTCAAACCCCAACAAACTGCTCATTAAAGCATTCCTCTACACTGCAAGAAACTTCAGACATCTTCTTAAGGGAGTTTGCTCTTGTCTCTCCAAGGAATGATTCTGTTTTGACTCCTAGTGCAGTTCAATGAGGTAAAAAGTTGGGCTTGATGTAAATATTTTACAGGCTGGATCTGAACCAGGGGTGAACTATGCAGTCACACCATCAAGTTCCACATCTGTCACAGGAATTCTGAGAGAGAAAAGCTACAGCCTAATCATACCAGGAAAGGAGTCCAAGGCCTGGATGTCCCCAGCAAATGCAAACCTGGCACCTGTCTCTCTACTTTTCAGTTCCTCTTCCTGTCTTAGATTGCTCTTCACACAGTGAACAATCCTGTGGTTTTCAATTGTAAGCATTTCATTTCCCATGCACTGTGCAGGGATCCCATGAGACAGGCAGAAATGTGAGGCCTTTCCTACGAACAACCTTTAGAGTTTTATTGGTTCTTCCTTCTAAAGACTCTTTTTCACTTAGTCACAGTATTTTTTCATTAGCTGGTTAATGACGTAAAGAAACACTGCTGAGTTTAATGGGGCTCCTTCTCTCGTGGTTTGAGCTGTGGGAGCTATTTACATCCAAGCAAAGTAGTTGGAAAAGCTAACCAATCTGATTCTATCATATTTCTGCATCAATTGTCTTGCAAGCTCTTGCAATTTCTTAACTTCATTAGTGATAGCATCCCATTAAAATTTGATATTCAACCACAAATGTCAGGGACCTGTCAAAGCTCCTGCACTATCAGAGCCTATGGAAGCTCTCTGCTACTTGTGTCAGGGTTATCACATTCAGAATCCATACACATCTGGAAGGCAAAGCGTCTGTTTTGTCTGTCTTCTCTCTCTTTCTACTCATCTGTTGTGTGTTCTTTCTGCTCCTGATGCAGACTTGTGTAGTAATTCCATTGTCTTTATGGATACATACCCCAGTAAAATGCTTTTGCTACATTGCTTAAGGATGGACATCTTAGATTGGATACAGTGGATACAGTGGATTTAGGGTAATTTCATTTATTTTTGCTTGGCTCAGACTCAGATAAAAAGTCTTTGCTGACATAGCCCAGATACTTTTCCACTCCCAAAAAACAGGACAGTTTTGACAGGCAGCATTAAGAACCGGGGCCAGTACACAAGACTTGTGAGCAATGCTGTTGGTTCTTGTATTTATCTCTTATTTAATGGTGTTTGGGATTCCAAGGAATTTAACTGAGATTTCTCAGTTGGTCACGATGTCCCAGCAGAGGCTGTGTGCTAAGCTCAGCAGTAATCACATACATGCAAGATTTGAGCCCAGGTTCTGCCTCTATCAGTGACTGTGGTGTCTGGGGCTGAGTTGTGGTGTGCCGCATTAGGGGATGTCAGTGAGAATTTGAGGTTCACAGAGAAGGATGGGACTGTCCTGGCAGCACCAGCAGCCTTGTTAGTATTTTATCCTTGTATTACATAGAGGTGGAATTCCCTTTGGTAATTAGAGCTAGGCTCTGCTACATGCTGCAACGTCCAGCTCTGAGGAGCAGTATCGTAGAATCACAGAATGGCTTGCATTGTAAGAGTCCTTGGAGCACACCCATCCTCAACCCCCTGCCATGAGCAGGGCTACCACCTCCTAGCTCAGGCTGCCCAGGGCCCATCCAATCTGACCTTGAGCACCTCCAGGGATGGGGCACTCACAGCTCTCTGGGCAGCTGTGCCAGTGCTGAACACCAGCTCCCTCAGCCTTTCTTCATAGGAGAGGTGCTCCAGCATCTTCATGGTCTCCTCTAGACCTATTCCAACATCTCTGCACGCTTCTTGTACTGGGGGCCCCAGGCATGAATCCAATACTGCAGGTGGGGCCTCACGAAAGCAGAGCAGAAGGGGACAATCCCCTCCCTCACCCTGCTGGCCTCCCCTCTGTTGGTGCAGCGTAGTTGGCTGGCCTTCTGGGCTGCAAGGCACACTGCTGGCTTGTCAAACATTTGTTCACCAGAACCCACAGTATAGGATCAGCAAAAGCTGCCATGCTCCAGGAAATGCTGGAGCTTAAGGAACAGAGCTGCCTTTCCAATGCCATTTTAGGAGCTTTAGGTCAGGCACTGTCCAGGGAAGGAAAGTTGTTTCCAAGATTAACTGAAAGCTTTTCTAAATATATCTCTAAGTGTACAAATTCCTGGTCAGTAGCAAGAGAGCTGATCCCCCTGCCTTTAGCTCCATCTTACAGTCTCACTGTAGAGAACAGGGCTGAGGAGGATGGATAGCACTTATCCAGGCACTAAGAATATTTTAGAACAACTACTGGAGCTAGCTAGGGATGATCTTCATTAAGTTCATTTACCTGCCAGGGCCTGAGGACTTTGTTTTTCTGCTCCATATGCCAAATGCATCACAAGCATGTAAATAATTATGAAGAGGAAATCACCCTGCACTGGGTCAGTTTAGTTACAGCATCAGCTGCCGCAGAAGCACTGAACCTCGGTGCTGGTCATGGCAGCTACAGGGGTTCACCACCTCTGAGGGTCTGTTGCTCAAAATCAGGACATTGGTGTTGGGGATGGGCCAGCACCAAAAATTCAGACTTCTGAAGGAGGGACCCATTCAAAGGCCACAAAGGAGCATAAAGTCTCAGTCTGTTGTTTAAAATGTATGTGTTGCTTTTGTTTCATGAAGAAGTCTGATTAATGCTGTGTCTTCCAAATATGAAGAGTTAAATGGAAGTAAGATTTGGCTGTCATTTAGCACGAGACAGGAACGTCTTTGTTGCCTCCTTTTGTGGCACTGCTATGGTTGTTTACTCAAGAGAACAAAACTGATTTCCTTCTACAAGAGGACAGGCTGGAATCTAGTGCAGCCTCGAGGCTGCTCAGCATCGTTTCCATACAAAGAGCGAGAGCAGTGCAGTGTCTGTAGATTCCTGTGAAAGACTATGACAGTGGTGCAAAAGGCAGAGTAGCCTTCTAAGCTCTGGCCTTTGTTCCTGCTGCACATGCGGCACTATGTCTGTCCTTTTGATCATTTGCTATAGAAACCCAAATTTCAGACTCTGCTTTCCTTTCACACAGTCAGGTGCTTATACCCCCAAAATGTAGTGCCTCCTTGCAGCGAAACTTCGTTGATGTATGGCAGCATTCCCATCAGGGTATTTGGAGGACTTTTTGTCACTGAATGTTAACTACAAAGAAAATAGCTTCTTTTTTCTTTCTTTTTTTTTTTCCTTTTTTTTTTTTTTTTTCTTTTTTTTTCTGTGTGTTCTCATTAAGTCATTGGTCAGTGGAATTCAGAGATCAAGAGCCTTTCTTGTACATTTTCCTCTTTCAGTCTGTGGACGGATTAAATGCTATAAATGAATGGGTAAAAACTCAGCCCTCCAGCTGTCAGAGAAGCTGTATGTTGATTGGTATGAAACTGGGAAGGAGTATCTTAGGGCCTTAAATGTAAAGCTTATGAAATGTTTATATGCTCTTCCATTTCCTATGAATTGAGACAAGATACAAACGAGTGTTTGTGCCAAAGTTTGTAACAAGCCCTCGCTCTGACAAACAACAAACTATGTATAAATAGTGTGCTTTTATACTAAGGAATAGCTCATGTAACTTAATAGTGTTGCAACTGGGAGAGGGGTTTGATAAACTGTAAATACAGTTATTTTATTTTTTGTACATTTTTAAGAAGGAAAAAAATAAATATTCCTATGTATGAGATAATATCTCTGTTGTTGTGGCGTGGGGATGGAGTTCCTATGAGTGAGCCCAGAAAGTGTACCAATAAGAAGAAAGTAGGAACCTGTGCTACAAGAAAACAAGTGCAGAGACTGAACAAAATAATCAGCAAACAGTGCATACAGCTTTTACACTTCTGGGTAGTGCCTGCTGGTGACACAGATGTGGTGTAAGAGTAGTGGTATGACTTCAGCCCCAGTCCAGCTCTCCTGGAATAGATAGGTTCAGGTCAGCTTTCCATCAGCAAAATGGATATGAGTTTATTAATCATTCTCTCTCTTCCTTTGTTTGCCCCAGATTTTCAATCTGTAACCAAACAAACTTGGCAGAGGAATCCCAACAGAGGAAGTACACTTCAGTGGATTTTTTGAGATTAATAGGGAGAGGAAGGAAAATTAATCTGTTGTACACTTCAGTAGTATTTCAGTCTTCCATTTCCTAGGTGTACACATTTTCTTTCTAACTCACCACTTTTCTGCAGAATGTTTAAGTGTCAATGTGAAATTGCCCAACCTTGGTGGGAAGGATTCACGAGAGTGCTGGGACAGGATTATCAGATTTATCTTAATTATTCAAATGCAAAAACTCTCAAGTGGAAGGAGGAATCTGATCACAAACAAGTGGGTGAGAAAGAGGATCCCTCTTGATGCACCAGATCTGGCTCTTCAAGCAAAGTAATCAGGAGAAGAGTTGAACTCCTGAGAGGATTTAGGGCAGAACCTTCCTCCCTGGCAGTCTGCAGCAAGTCTAGAAAAGACACAGGCTGAGCTTGAGCATGCCTGGAGCCCTCAGATCACCTCTCCTTTATAGGTTTCTCCATATCAGCAGGATTTTGCATCAAGGTACAACCAAAAGAGAAGCGGTCACCTGCTTCCTCTGTTGGCTGGACTTTGCGGCCTGGGTTCATGTAACCAAGCAGAAGCACCTCGTTTAAAGAGAACTGATGTCCTACAGTCAGTGGAGAGACACAGAGGTAGACATCTTTAATGGAGGCAAAGGTGAACTGCTGACTTTCTCCCATCCTGATCTCCTGGCATGTTGGAGCGTCCTGGGAACCCAGTGGAAATTCTGATAGTAGCACCTTGGTGAGCATGGGGCACCCAAATCTGCTCCCACTGTGCCCCGTGTGCCCAAGGCACTGATGCATACTGGCCCATGCCTCTTTCAGTAAAACACTTTCATAAACCATTTTGATTCCCACCATTTATCTTTTTTTTTTTTTTTTTTAACAAATGAGAGCCTAGGAGGCAAAAGCCCATCAGTTGTGAAAGCAGCATGGGGCAGCCGTGTTGTGTTGCAGGGTGGCGGAGATCGGAGCCGATACCTCCTGCTCAGGGCAAGTCCTGGCTGGAATGAGCTGCTGTGCAAGAGCCAACCTCAACACTTCCTTTCTTCCCAGAGAAGATTCCCAGGCGATGAGGGAAGAAATCAATTCTCCAGCAATCTCAGCCAGTGCAGAATGGAGTTGTAGACCCAGGGACTCCAAGAGTCAACTTACTCCCACCCATCGCCATCCCCACCAGAGGGGAACTCATCCACCTGCCTCTGGGTTGAGGAGTGTTCTCACAGCTGCCAAAGATTTAAAACAAGGGCTGTCTCTTGGAAAACGTGGTGTTTCCTAATCATTGTGAAAAGTATTTGTCACTGGTTGGTGTATCACACACTGAGGCACATGGTGCTCCATAGCTCAGTGCGTCTGGCTGACTAGATGACAGCAAAAGAAGTTTTTCTTCCAGATGCACTGGAAACCACAGAGCCCCATCCCCTCCTGCAACCACTCTGCCTGCTGCCAGCCCCAGCACAGCCCTGCTCCTCTGCAGCCAGCGCCTGTCCTCCAGCAGCAACCAACAGGGGTGTGATGCCCCGTTTCTTACATAGTTCACAGACTGACTGGGCTTGTCAAAGTAATCCCATTTCCTGGGTGCTGCCTGCGATAGAAGTTTAATAGTGTTTTATAGGAAGTCATTTTACGGAGTGGCGAATGCTTTAGGGGCTGAGTGGCTGGAAGTGCCCTGCCTGCAGAGGCTGTGAGAGGAGCAGCAGGAAGTGCTGCCACAGATGGGAACTGCCACAACTTCAGCAGTGCCCGTGTTTCTGAGGCAGCTGGGTGTGTTTCAGCTGCCCATCACCGGGAGAGGGCAAACCCCTTCCCTCGTGTAGGGTTTAGCTGAATTTTTCGATGGCAGCCTACAGCTTGTGTCTCATATATGAAGTGCTGAGGCCGCTGTGTTTGTGCAGCCCGGAGCAGAGGAGCTGAGGGGAGGCCCGATGGCGGCTGCAGCTCCTCACAGGGAGCGGAGGGGCAGCGCTGAGCTCTGCTCCGTGTGACAGCGACAGGGCCCGAGGGAACGGCATGGAGCTGCGTCAGGGGAGGGGCGGGTGGCGGTCAGGGACAGGGGCTGCAGCGGAGGGCGGCGGGCACGGAACGGGCTGCACGGGGCAGTGGAGGACAGTGGGCACGGCCCCATGCCGGAGTTCAGGGAGCGTTTGAGCAGCGCTCAGACACTGGGTTTGGATTTGGGGTGGGCCATTGAACAGATGTTCCATCAGCCAGCACCCTCCGGTCCCTTTCAAGCTGATATTAACACACTGTTTCACAAATAAGGTGGGTTTTATTGATCTGAGGTGGAAACAAGCAGTGGTTTCAATTACCTCCCAGTGGTATTTAAACTACTTTTAGCATCCTGGTGCTAATCCCAGCTCCAAATTTAACCCAGGTAAAAATGTGAGGAGCTTAAAGCAAATGCCTGCGGCTGCAGGAGGAAACAGCCGCCCTTGGAGCCAGCAGCCCTCCCACTGCCACGTGCTGCCTGTGCCCATGCATGGCTTAAGCCCTCACTAAGCTCTGGAAATTGACTTAGCTGGACACAGCCCAGCCGTGGGCAGGGGGGGGGCCGTGGAGCTCCAGGCTGGAGAAGAACAGCACATCCACGTAGCTGGCTGCAGCA